TTACAGATAGACGATCGCAAACTAGCCCAGTTGGATACCATTTCTAGGAGAATGTTTTTTGGATTGAATAGATCTAGAACTGTCAATGAAACTCTCATCACCAAGTTCAAAGATTCTACAGAGGAGGAAGATAGAATGATCTACTCGGCTCTACTCATGCAGAAAAGCGACCATCAGTTCCTTACAGTTTACTTGTCAGCGCTTACTGAAGCTACTACCATGGCTCGTCGTCAGGGTCTACTAGCCTCCTGCAATTGGGATAATCATTTTACGGAATCACTCTACGCTGCCCCTTGGTCATCGCCCTTACTTTTTGGTGGTAACATAGACAAGGTCTCCAAAGAGGTGTCTAAGGACTCTAGAGAGGTGCTTATGATCAAGTCCATGGATACGTTATTTAACGCCATTAAGCAATCATCCTTGAGATACTCTGGCAAGTCTAAATTCTCTGGACTACAGAAAGCACGGGACAAGAAATTGGCTACAGCAAAAGGTCCCAGGGAATCTTTTCACGCCCATACAGCAATTTCAGAGGAGGATCAGCAAGAGGCAGATCATCCAGAGTTTCCCGCGGATTTAGACGATGAAATACAGGTTCGGAACGACTGGAGTCTTCCACCCCCAGCCGTTCCAGTACAACCTTCTCAAGTGGGTGGACGCCTTCAGCTGCACTGGGAAAACTGGGGATTACTACAAGATCCTTATGTATCCAACATCCTACAGCACGGATATCAAATACAACTCAAGGCCATACCTCCGCTAACAGTCATCCCTCCAAGGTTCGACTTTCAACCGCACAACTACCTATGTTAAGAGAAACAGTAGCTACTCTGCTAAACAAACAGGCCTTAGAAGTTCTGGATCAGCTAAACATCGCATTCAGGTTTCTACTCCCCAGTTTTCCTAGTGCCCAAGAAAATTCCTAGGAAAAGTTTCGCCTCATATACAACATGAGCATCTTCAACAAAGACTATCTAAGCAAACCGCCAGCTGTTTAGCATGATACACTAACCGCAACTTCGCACTTAATTAGGTCCCAAAGATTACATGGCCAGCATAGATTTGCAAGACGATATCTACACATTCGATTCATCCCAATTCAAGGAAATATCTAAGATTTATCCTAGACGGGAAACATTACCAATGGAAAGTACTTCCCTTCGAATCTCATCGCCCCTTGGGTATTCACAAGAGTGACGAAGCCTTTTGTCGATACCTACATCGCCAAGGTCTTCGTGAGCGCATTTTACCTAGACGACGGGATACAAGTGGATCCAGATCCACAGCGTCTCAGACTACAGCTGAACTTTATAATCAAGTTACTAACTCAACTAGGATGGTTAGTAAATCTACTCAAGTCGGACCTAGAACCAACGCAAGATCTGCAATTTCTAGGTATACGATTTCTAACAGCCCAGAATCGTTTAGTAGTCCCGGAGGACAGATGGATCAAGATCCAACAGTTAATCCCACAAGCCTTACTCTCTCCGCTACCACTACGACAGTGGCAGATCCTATTGGGACTATTCACATCAGCCCAAGACTTGACAGTCAGAGGCAGGCTTCAATTACGTTCGTTACAAGTCCTCATCAATGTGCACCTCGAGGACCCTCTACCGTTCAGTCTACCAGATCACGTCAAACCTCATCTACTCTGGTGGACCAAGAGATTGAATGTTTGCGTAGGCGTCTTCTTAATAGAGCCGGAATCGGAAACACATCTCTACGTAGACGCGTCACTACAAGGTTGGGGAGCCCACCTTGCCTACAAGACAGCGTCAGGCCTATGGAGCAATCAAGAGAGCAAATGTCACCTAAATCTGCTAGAGATGCAAGCAGTCATAAATGCCATAAGTCACTGGAGCAACCTACTACAGAACGCTCAGTTGATGATCCACACAGACAATTCGACAGTGGCGTTTTATGTGAACAAACAAGGCTCAACAACGTCATCGAACCTACTGTCTCTATGTTTCCTATTATTCGATCTAATCGACAATCTAAACATACATGTCAGAGCTTGCCACATTCCAGGAGCAAAGAATGTATTAGCAGACGCCTCTCGCCACACCTACCGCCGACAGAATGGATGCTCCACACAGAGATATTCACTCAAATAATCATGGAAATAGGATCTCCACTAGTAGACCTATTCGCCACTCGATTCAACAAACAACTGACAATTTTCGTATCGCCAGTTCCAGACCCACTAGCATGGGCAACGGACGCACTAAGCATATCGTGGGAGGGACTCAACGCGCGACGCTTCCGCCACCAGCGTTAATCCCATTAAGTCTTACTCAAAATCAGTCAAACGCAGAGCCTCCATCTGATTTTGGTCAGCCTCTCTGGCTGGCCAGCTTAGAACTTGGTTTCCAAATCTTATTCAAGAAATCGGACAACCAATTCTACAACTTCCAGAACGCCAATCTATTGATACATCCGCACACCAAACAAGTGCATGGAAAACCAGAAGTATTCCAACTTCACGTATGGATTGTATCAAGGCATGTCTGAATAAGAGAGGTTATTCAGCCAGAGCGGCAAAAGCAGTCACGCTTGCACTGCGTAACTCAACTCGCAACTTATACGATGACAAATGGCACAGTTTTGTCAATTATGCTGCAAAGAAAAGATTTACAACCAGATATGCTACTCATCCTCAAGTGGCGGACTACTTATGTTATCTACGACAAACTAAGAATCTAAAAGGCTCAACTTTGTCCACTTATCTTGCAGCATTAAGCTCTGTCATAACTATGAGAACGGGCGTCAAGTTAACAAAGACCCCAGAGTTACTCGCTTTGCTACGAGCATTCCGATTGGAGGATCACAAACGGAAGTTTCACGCTCCAGCTTGGGATCTAAATATAGTGCTCCAACACCTCACAAGTAAGGCTTATGAACCGTTAGAATCTACATCGTTTGAATCACTGACCCAGAAAACTTTGTTCCTGTTAGCGTTAGCTACGGCTGCCAGGATGTCGGAGATTCACGCTTTGGATTACGAGAGAACACGCTTTGATGATATAACATCGTTCATCTGGGACTTCGCTGGGATTTTATAGCTAAGAACCAATTGCCAGGTCAACCAGACAGATTATTCCACGTCCCAGCTCTCTCATCCATACTTGGACCTCATGATACGATGGATCTATCACTATGCCCAGTAAGAGCACTGAAAATATATCTCCACCGATCCAAACAGAGGAGAGGAAAATTCAAGAGATTATTTATCCCTCTATCTACAGCCACGCAGACGGAAGTCTCAATGCACGTACTACTATCTCAATTTGGATCAGAACTGTCATACTCACGCGGCCTACAAGGCTGCAGGACTCGACCCTCCAAGAGCATCTAATCCTCATGAAATTAGAGCTTAGCATCAACACTTATGCTACACGGCAACTGCTCTTTGAATACCATAATGGAGGGTTGTTTCTGGAGATCCGATATGGTGTTTGCCAACCACTATCTGAGAGATATTACCACCAAGGACGTCGCAGGTATCCACAATTTCGGTCCCATGGTCCTCGCTCAACAGTTGACAGTTCCTCGGAGAAGATAAGTCAATCTTACAGATTTATACTTATCTGATATCAGTACTAAATAGCTACATGCTACATATATATTTTGCTTAAGTTCAATCTATTATCTTAAGCTCAGTACTATGTTTTTTATGTCTTACAAGATATTAGCTAACAACTCTAAGGAGTTTTGCTATTATATTTAGCTTAAGTTTCATCATATCTTAAGCTCAGTAATATGGTCACATTTTATATATATATTAGCTAACAAACTCTACGGAGTTTTTTGCTATTATATAGCTTAAGCACAGTACTATACTCATATAACTTAAGTTTATGCATATCTTAAGCTTAGTACTTTGGTTACTTCATAAAAGTATATTAACTATAAACTCAAGGAGTTTATGCTATCACATTAACAACTTAAGTCTACTAGTCTTAAGCTTTGTATTAATGTTGTATATACTTTATCATAATAAGTATATTGTAATAGTTATATTGTAATAACCCATATATGGCAGCTGATAAGTTAGCAGCAGGAATTCATCAGTTCAGTGCCTTTATGAAGTTCCCATAGGGTTATTACAGTCATTACAATTCAAATCACTAATTATCCAAATCCAAAGTATTATATATTCCCACCTCCATAGCCGTCGGATTCTACAAGCAAATAAGCATGAGTCAGGATAAGTATAAAATATCAATTTTACTCTAAAAATTACATTTTTCTGAGTAAAATTGATATTTTATACTTATCCTGACTCATGAGGTAAGCCCTCCCGTCCTCCCCACATAACACTTTGGATTTCCCTGTAAATTCAAGTGTTGGGCTCGCTATAAAAGGAGAGAGTGAGGCACATGGCAGGAGGTGGCGCCCTCGTTCCCGCGCTCGCGAGGGAACAGATAACTCGTGGTGAGTACTAATTAGTGATTTTACATTGAAGGGAACTTCAATTGGGAGATACAAGTGTTCCACTGTGTTCGTAAAGAAGAAGAAGACAAACAAATAAGCATGAGTCAGGATACGTATAAAATATCAATTTTACTCAGAAAATTACATTATTGTAGCTGACATTTGTAACACCAAACAAAATCCAGTTTGCTGGAGGTATGTCTGAAAGTGTAGATTTGGGTATTTATCCCATTTTGTCGTTATTCAGGTGAATAAAAGCGAAAATATATTTGATAAAGGGATTACATAGAATTCTTTTCCTTGTAAGTTAAATGCTCTAAATAAACTGTAAGATCTACTGAAAATATTGTACATTGACAAGTTTTGGACTATATGGGACCGGAGTGTTTAGAGCAAATTTTGAAGGAAGGACTGTGAGAATATGTATGCATCATGATGTATATTATGTCAGTTCCCTTATGATTAGACTGCTCATATAGGAAGTATAAACTCAGACACTGTTTGTGAATGTGGTGAAGGCTATATCCATAGTTGAAATATGTTCAAACATTTTCTTCCAGACGGACCCGATCCAAATCCAGATCTCCCAATGACAGGAAACGTAAATCTAGATCACCTGAAAAAAAGCGGAAGTCACGATCACCTTCTGACAGGAAGCATAAATCAAGGTCAGAGACACCAAGGAAAGAATCTCCCTCCTCTAAACGATCTCCATCACCAAAGAGGGAAGATCCCGACAGCAGTAAAACTGATGTCAAAACTGAAAATGGAACTACAGAAAAGAAAGATGTAGAGAAAAAGTGAGTGTCTTATCTTGCTCATAGAAATTATGAGAAATATGGAAAGAAAAACTCAAACATATCCATTCTGTATATAAATTGTGATTCCTTGAATTCATTCCAATTCACTGCATCCGAGAGCTATACCGGATTAGTTCGTCATTGGTTTCTACCTGATTATGGCCATGATCTGTTTATAATACATTTGTGGTAAATGTTTTCTTCAAGCATTCCAACTCTTCTGTTCTGACTTCTCAAACAGGTTAAGAAGGTTGTGCATGGGTAGCTGAGTGGTCTTTGGAGTCTTCTATATAGACCTATGTCCCTGCTAGGAACAGGGGCAGTTGGATAGCTTGTGGTTCAATCGTTTGTTTGTCATACCGAAGACCCAGGTTCGATTCCCCAAATGGGTACAATGTGTGAAGCCCATTTCTGGTGTCCCCAGATGTGATATTGCTGGAATATTGCTAAAAGCGGCATAAAACCATACTCACTCACTCACCTTACTAGGGTCTGTGATTCATAGGTTTGGAGCTTTAATCACCCTTTTGGAAAATCTATCATGAGAATCATCAAGGTGCAAACTCTTTCCATCCATCACTGGAACTCAGCATGATACTTAAATTACCAATTTTTCCTTATCCTGACTCATGCTCTTTTTGCTTGTCTTCTTCTTCTTGCGAACATAGTGGAACACTTGTATCTCCCTAATTGAAGCTCCCTTCAATTTAAAATCACTAATTAGTATTCACCACGAGTTACCTCCTTTCCACAAGCGCGGGAACGAGGGCGCCACCTCTACCCATGTGCCTCACTCTCTCCTTCTTCGCCCAGTGAGCTGGACGTGAGAGCGCCTGTGTCTCCCGACACACTATATCCTTTGATTATATTTAGTTAGTTACCTCGTATAGACATCTATAGAGGTTTAGCTAGTATCCTTCAACGATTATATATTGATATTTAGTCGCTTTTTCTACAGTTTATTCACGGGACGCCGTGTTTGTTTCAGTGGATTACGTTGATGAAAATTCTGTACTATTGCAGATTACGTTTTTTATGCTGCTGCTGATCCACCTTTAATATGATGTACGGCGCCATGTTTATTATATTCACATTGCAGTTGCGGTACTAATTTATCCAATTCTACCTCTTTATTAATATTTACTTTGCGCTTGGCACCATTGCAGATAGGTCGCGATGCAGAGTCTAGTATGACTGATACACGGAACCCTCGCCAGTCTACTGCTGTTGGTCGACTCCCCTCCGTGTGGTGTTCCGCTAGAGTGGTGGAGAGGTGTGGGACGTAGTCCGCCATCTCCAAGAAGCATTCTGCTTCCCCAGACATCCCATCGTCGCAGCAGAAGACTAGAGGGTTTTTTTCTACTACATCTCAACAACCGAGACCGTTCCCATCGAGGTTTGGGCCTGTATGATGATGACCGATGTCGGCACAGATCAGCATGCAGCCTGATGTACCAACGCAGATATGCGATGATCGTCCTGAGGGTCCCATCATTACCAACACTCAACGCAGACGTCGCACACCCAGGGCAGCGTCGACCTCTGAGGGAAAATCAACGAAGTCTACTAGGACTTTTCAACCGAGATTGTTCCAGCCGATGACCTGGACCTCTACGATGATCAGCTGATCATCATCCCCGACGTACGCCACAAGAAACGACCGGGACAGCTACAACGACATCAGCAGAGATCACCATGCAGCCTGATGCCTCTACACTGATGTCGGACGATTTTCGGTGGACCCTCCATTAACACCGCAGATAAAGCACCGGACGACTCGCCGCAGACCATCCCAGAAGACATGATGCGACAAATTATGAACATCATGGAGGACCAATATCTCGCGGTAGCAGGGTCCGAAGCCGCGAAGGCTCCAACGTGACAGCACCCCAGAGGCACCCCGGCCAACGAGCAGCCAGGACGATGTCACCTTCGGCGGCGAAGTCACGGACCACCTTGACGAAGGACCTAGATGTACAGCCTTCGGGGCCTTCGAAGGCGGAAAGGACCTAGATGTACAGCCTTCGCTGGGCGAAAGAACCTAAATGTACAGCCTTCGCGAAGGACTTCAAGGCAGGATAGATCATCACCTTTATGCGTTTCATCCCTAGATGTGGACTCGACCATCAGACATCACGGAAGCCTTCGGCGAAGGTCATATCGTCGCTCCCCGACCGACGCAGAGGAAGCTTCAAGGCATGCGCCAAGGACACCTGAATCCAGATCATCATCATCTAGAAGGACATCGAGGGACTATACAAGAGCTTCACGAAACTATCAACGCCCCTCACAAGTCTCGAAGATCAACCCATAGACAAGTTGATCATCGATATCAAGTATAAGAACTACAATCGATATGGGTTCTGTTGAATCCATGACGAGACGATGTTCGCTGGCCTAAATAGATCTAGAATCCATCAATTAGACACTTATCACCAGACTTCGTGAATACGACTTCTGAATATGATAAGATGATCCATGCCATACTTAGGCAAGCGCCGCCACGATCCCACATCCTGTTAAACACAGAGGCTGTTCACTTAAACAAGCCATATATATATTATATATATATATATATATATACTAATCGGCTTTGATTCGACACCTTCGCGATGGTCGCTCAAGGCTAAGTGGCTCCAAGTCTACTTCACCCAGAAGATCTAGAAGGGATACTTCGAGAACTTCTGAAGTCTCCGGCGCTCACCGAGGAAGTCTCCTCCAAGGTTTCTATATACCAGCCACTCGTCCATATAGCTACTCGTCAGTCCGTTTCAAGACGCCGTGATAAGTTGATTATCAACTGTATGCCAGATGCCGCCTATAAGCCTACGCCAAGATAATTGCTCCGCTATTTACAACACAGAACGCCGCTGTATTATTAGTCAACGACATTTCATAGATCTTCACAGAAATCAACTATTCCGTGATAAATTGCTAATATACAATCCCGACGACGATACGATTATCTACATGCGTGACCATTACGCGATATCTGCAGACAATTCAATATCGAAATTGAACAGCAGCCTTGTTACAGCGAAGTATAACTCTTAATCGCCAAAGTTTCTGAGAAGAAATATGTACAACAAGTTCAACGTTAATTCTACAATTATGACGATACATTCATGTATACAGTCTACAAGCTCACAACTTGCAAGTTGTTTATACCCTTATATATAAGGAAGTCGGAATTATATTCAAAACTGAAATTACTTTCACGACAACCAGGAAAATAACCTACCCAGCATAAAAATTACAGAGCGAGATATTTCGCTACCGGAGGTTTCGCATGTTACCATTAACCCTCAAACACGTGGTCACTCGGATAACTTCGAAGCTACGGTGAAGACCGACGCTTATGCTAATATCAACGATTTTACAAGAATTTATTCAAGGTGGGTTTTTTCCCGCTACACCGGTGACATCACAGCTGGTATTATACAGAATCAAAATGCCTTGTTCTGATTGGACCATGAGGGACAACGACACCTACACAGAGGTCGATCTCTATTCACAGTTCAAGACTTACGCCACAAGTGACAACTATATATCAGTGAACGAAAGCAAGCCTCATTACAGTCCAGTTAACCTGAACATTCATGATTAGACTGCCTTTCTTCAAGATAGAGACCTCCCCTGTCAAGTTAAGACGAGGGATCGGGCAGTCAGGCGATTTTACATAAAGTTCAACGAGGACAGACACACCTGGTTGTGCACCTACATCGCCAAGGACTTCGAGCTTAATTACCTAGACGAAAGATACAAGTGGATCTAAATCCACAGCTTCAGACTACAGCTGAATTTCATCAAGTTTAATTAACACAACTAGATGGTTAGTAAACCTACTAAACTTCTGTTTGGAGAATAAACGGAAATTTCACGCCCAACCTGGGATATGAATATAGTGCTCCAACACCTCAGAAGTGAGGTTTATGAACACGCTTCTGGATGACATACTTGGACCCCATGATAATGATGATTCTATCAAGATGGCCAGCAAGAGCACTGTAAATTTATCTCCACCAAACCAAACAGGAGTAAAAAAATGCAACAGATTATTTCCTCTATCATCAACTTACTTAGAGAGAAGTCTCATGTACTATATCTCCATTTGGATCAGAACTGTCATACTACGTGCATATATGATGGACCTATTCCGACCCTCCATGAGCTTAATACTCATGATATTATAGCTTAACTTCTACAATTGTTCCACACAAATGTGATTGAAATATTGGAGGGTTTATTTCTGAGATCCGATATGGTGGTTGCAAACCATTATCTGAGAGATATCACCACCGAGGACGCCTCCTCAGGTATACACCAATTGATCCCATGGTCCTCGCACAACAGCTGACAGTTCTTCGAGAAGATAAGTCAATCTAACAGATTTTTACTTATCTTATAACAATACTAAATAGCTTCATGCTATATATAATTTACTTAAGTTCCTTTTATCATCACAGTACTATGATTATTACATCATACAATATATAAGTTAACAACTCTACAGAGTTTGTTATTATATATATTTACCTTAAGTTATTCATATCTTAAGAGTAATATTATGGTTACATGATAAATGCATCAGCTAACAAACTCTACAGAGTTTTTATTATTTTATACATAGCTTAAGTTAATTAAGCTAACAAACTCTACGGAGTTTTACTATTATATAGGTAACTTAAGCTAATTATACCTTAAGCATAGTACTATACTCATATTATTAAAATATATTGGCTAACAAACTCTAAGGAGTTTTGCTATTATATAGGTAGCTTAAGCTTATTCATATCTTAAGCTTAGTACTATGTTTATATCATATAAGTAGATTAGCTAACAAACTCTAAAGAGTTTTTGCTATTTGGCTTAAGTATCATCATATTTCTAAGCAATATGGTTATATTATAACATGTATTAGCTAACAAACTCTACAGAGTTTTAGCTATTATATATGTAACTTAAGCTTATTCATATCTTAAGCTTAGTACTATGTTTATATCATATAGGTATATTAGCTATCAAAACTCTAAAAGAGGGTTTTGCTATTATATATTTCGGGCTTAAGTTTCATCATGTTTTAAGCTTTATAGTTACATTATAACATGTATTAGCTAACAAACTCCCACGGAGTTCTTGCTATTATATATGTAGCTTAAGTTTTCCTTCATAAGCTCAATACTAGGTTTATATCATAGCTAACAAACTCTAAAGGGTTGTTTTCGCTATTATACAATTAGCTTAAGTTTTCATCATATCTTAAGCAGTATGGTTACATTATAAAGCAGATAGCCAACAAAACCTCGACGGAGTTTTGTTATTATATATATATAGCTTAAGTTTCATCATAACTTAAGCTCAGTACTATGCTTAGTACTATGGTTACACTATAAACATATTAGCTAATAAACTCTACAGAGTTTTTGGCTATTATATATGTAGCTTAAGTTAATAATATCTTAAGCACAATACTATACTCATATTGTAAAATATATTAGCTAACAAACTCTACGGAGTTCTGCTATTATATATGTTGCTTAAGTTCATTATATCTTAAGCACACTACTATACTCATATTGTAAAATATATTAGCTAACAAACTTTACGGAGTTTTGCTATTATATATGTAGCTTAAGTTAATTATATCTTAAGCACACTACTATACTCATATTGTAAAAATATATTAGCTAACAAAACCCTACAGAGTTTTGCTATATATATGTAGCTTAAGTTAATTATATCTTAAGCTCAGTACTATACTAATATTATAATATATATTAGCTAACAAACTCTACAGAGTTTGGCTATTATATATGTAGCTTAAGTTAATTATAGCTTAAGCACAGTACTATACTCATATTATAAAAATATTAGCTAACAAACTCTACAGAGTTTGGCTATTATATATGTAGCTTAAGTTAATTATAGCTTAAGCACAGTACTATACTCATATTATAAAAATATATTAGCTAACAAACTCTACAGAGTTTTTGCTATTATATATGTAGCTAAAGCTTATTCATATCTTAAGCTCAGCATTATATCTATATCATATAAGTATATTAACTAACAAACTCTAAAGAGTTTGTTATTATATAATTAGCTTAAGTTTAATCATATCTTAAGCTTAGTACTATGTTATATCTTAAAGTATTTTAGCTAACAAACTCTAAGGAGTTTATACTAAATATTAACAAGCTTAAGTCTATTAGTCTTAAGCATTGTATTAATGTTATATATACTTTATCATAATAAGTACATGGTAATAACCTTTATATGGCAGCTGATAAGTTAGCAGCAGGAATTCATCAATTCAGTGCCTTTATGAAGTTCCCATAGGGTTATTACAATCATCACAGTTCAAATCACTAATTATTAAAAATCCAAAGTATTAGATATTCCCACCTCCGTCTGTAGGATGCTACAAGCAAGAGATGAGTCAGGATAAGGAAAAATATGTAATTTTTGGAGTAAAATTGATATTTTATACTTATCCTGACTCATGAGGTCAGCCCTCCCATCCTCCCCAAATAACACTTTGGATTTCCTGTAAATTCAAATGTTGGGCTCAGTATATGAGGAGAGAGTGAGGCACATGGGTAGAGGTGGCGCCCTCGTTCCCGCGCTTGTGGAAAGGAGGTAACTCGTGGTGAATACTAATTAGTGATTTTAAATTGAAGGGAGCTTCAATTAGGGAGATACAAGTGTTCCACTATGTTCGTAAGAAGAAGAAGACAAGCAAAAAGAGCATGAGTCAGGATAAGTATAAAATATCAATTTTACTCCAAAAATTACATTTTCATTACTTTTCATTTTTATTGATATGTTATAGGGATGACAACAAAGAAAATCAACCTGAAAAGGCTACATCACCTAGCACTAAGACAGACAAAAAGAGTCGAGACAAATCCCGGTCAAAATCTCGCAGCCCAGATAGAAAGAAGAGACATCGCAGTAGAACTCCAGAAAGGAAAAGGAAGAGGAGTAGATCCAGGTGTGTTTCATTACATGGCTCTTTGCCATGGTTTATTTATGTTTAAAGTGCTTTTATAAACCTGTCTGGACTTTGCAAGTTTGCTTATGTTTGAATTTTTCAATTTGATAGATCAAGGTCTCCCCGTAGAAGACGTTCACCTAGACGCTATTCACCTAGACGATCTCCCCGACGTTCCCCTAGGCGTTCCCCTCGTCGCAGACGATCCCGATCTAGGTCCCGATCTCGACATAGACATAGTTCTCCCCGAAGAAGGGAACGCTCCCCACGTCATCGGAGGTCCAAGAGTCCTGTCGCTAAGAGACCACCAAGGAGAAGGTACACAGCTTAGTGTTTGTGGTTATGAGCTATGTGTAAATTCTAGTGGAGATAATAGAGTAGGTAGAGGTGACCCAGTACACCACAATTCACAGTGCAGAGGTAGCCCTGAGGCATTCCAGAAACCTTTCATTGTTGGTTTGAATACTAGTTTGCCCTAGTATGGTGTGTTATTTTTTCCTTTCCAGGTTTCCTCACAAGCTTTGTATTGCACTGTTGTGTGAAATTCTGGAAAAGAATAAAGGCATATTTGTACTTTCATGTGTTCCCTTACTGGTTTCATGAGTATATTTCTGGCACAGTATTCAAAGATTGTAGTCTCTGAAGAAACTGTTATAGAATGTGATAAAATGTTATGTCCTTTGTAAACAGTTGGATTCAAATTTATTTACACCTTTAACATTATTAGCCTAGTACTATTTTGTTCAGAAGATCCCTAAATGTGGTGGAAACCATGTTCTTCATTTCCAGTTGGATTGATCCTCATGCGATTGTTGAATTCATACTGCAGTCCATTATTATATAGCTCAGATTTACTGGGGATAGAACATAAACTCCTCAAGCTCAAGTATTTATAAGTGAAGTAGGCTTAGTTTAACTTCAATTCTTTTTCAAAATGATGAAAACCTGATACTAAGACCGATGTATTGTATAAACCAGACGCAGCCCCTCCTCCAGTTCAGACTCGGACAGCTCAGGAAGCTCTGATTCACGCACCCGTTCCAAGCAGAAGTCTAAGACAGGAAAGGTGAAACTACATTCGCTTGATACACCTTCATATGTCAACTTTGCTTGCCAGTATTTGCCAATTGTCAGTAGACCCTGAAGATACCTTTCAAGTCTACTAAAGATTTCAAAGGACTAGTTTATAGTCAGTTTAAGATCTTGTCCTAAAGAAGGCTTTCGAAACTGATTGTTTAGTAATAGAAGCAATTGGCCAAGATTCACCGTAGAGAATAATTGCCTCTGACAAATTCATGATGCTAATAGATACAGCAGGTTCATCAGTGCATGTAATAATGTTGCAATAAAATGTTTTTATGTTTTAAAAAGTTGTAATGTTATATCCGAAGGGTGTAACCAAGTGATGTGATGACAAACAGATAAAGGTCATCAGTATTAGGCACTAGTACAGAAATTGATAAAAATCATTAAATTGCATGATATGTTCACTTGATATGCTTTTGCATTGTGTGTGCACAAGATGAATCTCTTTCAGGGCAGTGATGAGGATGGCAATGATTCTGCTGGGAAGGTAGGCGTACAACAGCGCCGTCACTATCGTAAACACGACACTGAAGAGAACTCTGACTCTGACTCTTCATCTTCATCATCAGAGGATGAAAGAGGTACTCATCATGTTTTCTGACAAGTCTTAATTATGTTTTCACTTAAAATATATATGTCGGAATGTTTTTGTTGAATAATATACTTGTATTGCTGTAAATTCAGATTCATCTATGTTTCAACTTTTTGGGTGACCATGGCCCTGCCTGGTTTTGTCTAGTGCAGCTTAGTTTTCATGTCAAGATGCATCCAATGCAAGTAAAATAATTGTCCTTAAATCAAACTGTGATCAGTTCCCAAATGTGTAACCTTAAAGTTTGTGTGTCTGGGCAGTATTATTCAAATACAAGTTGCCATGGCCTGTTGTGAAACAGTGATCTCCCAAGTCTAGGATCAATTTCCACCTCAGATATTCAGTCTTTGATGTCCAGATATTAAATGGGTTTTGTGTCTAAGGAACTTGTATGGGAGTTCTTAGTTGTAGAGGGGCAGTCGGGTAGCCTAGTGGTTAAAGTGTTCACTCTTCACGCTGAAGGCCTGGATTTGATTCCACACATGGGCACAATGGGTGAAGCCCATGTCTGGTGTCCCCAGCCTTGATATTGCTGGAATATTGCTAAAAGCATCATAAAACCCAATTCACTCCCTCACTCTTAGTTGTAGTTGTTCTTATCATATGAATATCTGCATGAGGATTGCTCTTCAGCAACCCATGCTTGTTGTAAGAGGTGACTAACACATTTGATTGGTCAGGCTCACTCACATGGTTGATACATATCATTATATCCCAACTGAGAAGATCAATGCTCATGATGTCAGTCACTGGATTATCTGGTCCAGCACTTGATAACGGCGTTAATAGCTACACTGAAACATTGTTCATACTAATAATAAAGAAGTTATAAATCCATAGCACTCTAGCATTGTTCATCACACCAACGGGCGGTGGGGTAGCCTAATGGTTAAAGCGTTGGATCGTCACGCCGAAGACCCGGGTTCGAATCCCCACATGGGCACAATGTGTGAAGCCCATTTCTGGTGTCCCCCGCCGTGATGTTGCTGGAATATTGCTAAAAACGGCGTAAAACCAAACTCAGTCAGTCAGTCATCACACCAACTTCTAAATGTTGCTCCAAGAAGCTGCTTATTCCAGACCACCATCATGTAGCTGGAAAATTGCTGAGTGCTGCATTAAACAACAAACAAATCTTACTCTTGCCAAACCATATTTTCAGATAAAGGGAGACAAAAGCGGAATATGAGGAGATCAAGCTCACCAAGAGCTCGGCGGCGTTCTCCTCCCTTCAGACGATCACCATCACCACGGAGATTTGGAGGCAGAAACAGGATGTCGCCTGTATTGAGACGAAGGTAAAGAAAACATTTTTTGGTCATGTTGATCATTATTATCCTGCAAAAGTTTAGATAAGGTTTAGGTTTTGTTGTCTGACACTTGTAAATGTGTCTCAGAATGACATCAATTTTGTTTGTCTAGAAATGAGATATCAAGATTTATGGAGCCACATTATTTATCAAATGACTAGATATTCACTGAGACGACCTTGGGTTCAAGTATTCAGTCTTCAGGGCCCCGTTTCTCAAAGCTCTCGTAAGCCTAAGATCTCGTAACTTTTCTCGTAGCATTCGTACCTCCTATGTTACAGTATAGGAGATTCGAATGCTACGAGAAAAGTTACGAGATCTTAGGCTTACGAGAGCTATGTGAAACGAGGCCCTGGCTTATAGCCCTTGTTTGATTCCAAATGTGTCCACAATGTGTGGAGCCCATTTCAGTCATGCTCTATGCTTGAACATTTCTGAAGACTATAAAATCACTCTCATTCAGAATGTGTAAGGACCACATGAGATAAAACATCAGTAAATTACAGTCCCTTTTTTTGTCTTAGATCTGAGTGAGTAATTGTTTTGTGCTGTGTTTGGACATACTATTTTTTTAAAAGTTGTTTGGCCTCCCTATGAAGTTGTCATATCACTCAAAGTAGCATGAGTAGAAAGTCCTTATTATTAAACGAGCATCCTGAAGATGATTTGATTGGTCCGAAGTAGTGTTATTATCACTGTAAATATTATCAAGTATATATCCCAAATTGATCATAAATCAATGGTAGTTGTTCTAATACCTTTTTACAAAATGCAACTGAAATGATATATGTATCAAACACAATGTTTGTATCAACTGATGCTTTCACTTAATTGTCATTATTGCGTGAATACATTCTGTATGTTCCAATTCTAAAATTATTTGAGCAGTCGCTCAAGCACTTATGATGGAGCTGACACTATTACTGAGACCTGATCAGCCATCTCTAATGCCAGCCCCCTTTATATTTCAGACCTCCACCTCCTCACTTCAGAAGGTGATATTTGATATCAAGCTGTGTCAATGTTGGCTACATATTGTCTCAGAAAACTTAATCCACATTGATCTTACAATATCTAGCAATCTTGGCACAGTGGTTGTATATAGATAATATTCAGTACCAGTAGAAGAATTATAGTTTTCTTTTATTTACTTTTCATACCGTTTGAATGGTTGGTTGTGACTGATGACAGTGTGTGATGTTAATGTGCATGCACTGTGTATTAATCCTACTACAGGGTGTGTATGTGATCACTGATGTCCTTGACATCTGCCACACCCATTCTTAGTCCCCTTGCCATGATATTGCTGCACAACTTCTACACACATCCTGCCATCTATGCTGTATCTCCCTCACTTAATGTCCGTCTTATCAGGGATGCAACTTAACCTGAAACCTGTACCATCCTGAATAATGACAACATAAGGGGATCCCCTTAAATACTTTAAAATCTATGGACCCATGAAGATCCGGGTTAGAGTTGATCTTCAGCAACCCATGTTTGTCGTAAGAGGCAACGGGATTGGGTGGTCAGGCTCGCTGACTTGGTTGATACATGTCATCGTATCCCAATTGTGTAGATCGATACTCATGCTGTTGATCACTGGGTTGTCTGGTCCAGCTGGAATATTGCTGATTGCAGCGTAAAACTAAACTCACTCACTCACTTTAAAAATCTATGAGGCCTTTGTAATCAGACAAACGATAGAAAGCCAGTTGCATCCCTGATCTTGCACACCCATACACATATTCACGTGCACACAAACACACACCTCATCTGTCAGATGTGCTCACTTGAAACATGACTTCTTACCATGCCAAGACAATGCAGTATAGAACTGGACATGTTGAGACCAGAGTGATGGAGTAGCATCTCAGTAGATGTGAAGGGATGCTTGCTACAAATATTAGTTCGTGTTTCTGAAATTTTCATGTCCCTTTGTTGGTCTGTTCTGACTGAATGGAAAGTCAACAGAACCCATATCAAACCTTTCTGCAGGTATGTTTCTGTATATAAAACATTGTGGATTCTCCTCAAATGTATGTTCATAAGCACTGGGTCCTGCACTGGTTCTTTTTTTGGCAGCTTTTTTGTCCCATGAGTTTCCCATTTTGAATTGTCTAAATATTTCGATATTGATTTTAATTATGTGTGTTCCTTTGTCATTTAATGTGTGTGCCTTTATATCATTTTATGTGTGTGCTCTCATCAGTTTACGTGTGTGCCATGTCATTGTAGATGTGTGTATTATCTGTGTTGTGTTAGGAAAATGTGACTGTTGGGGCAATGAGAGATATCTTTAGTTACTGGAAGTGATATCGAAAGTAAACACTCCCAGTGATTTGCCACATAACTGATCTTCAGATCTTTTGTACATGGCTAGGATATTTAGTAAGGCTGTGAGGAAGCAATGGTTTGTGTCTAGATCTTAAATAAGTATTTGTGTTTTTGCCTTGGTTACTGGCAATGTTATAATCATTCAGGGGAGTTGGCTGTGGGACATCCTTGCAGGAAAAGAGATCTTTGTGATAAATTAATGGGAAATATGTTGTCTGGTAGATTTACAGTGGTGTAAAGGGTGGGAGAGGTGAACAAAAGAACTTCAGCAGTGCTGCATTTGCTCACGGGGAACAACAGCACATAAGGTATTGTCAGGGATGCAGGCAGATTGCCAGTAGAGTTGCGAACAGTTACTGTACATAAAGACTTTGACCTAGACAATCTTGTAAATAAGAAACAGTGAAACTTTGAGTGAAAGCCACTGTATCTGGCAGAGGTAGTCTGCAGGAACTTTAAGGTTTCCTTCCCAACAAGTTTGGCGTATCTGTCAATAGTTTCTCTGTAGTGATGGTAAAAGGGTGTAACTGTATCACAAAGAGGTGGTTAGTTGGACATGGTCTTCCTTCCCTACAAGTATTGAGTACAAGCTAGGTATGGCCTTCACTTGTATTTCTGTAGTGATGGAAGAAAGATGTGACTATATCTGACAGGTGGTTAGTTGGACATGGTCTTCCTTCCCTACAAGTATTGAGTACAAGCTAGGCATTTCCTAATGTTTCTGTAGTGGTGGTAGAAAGTTGTGACTATCTCATAGAGGTAGTTTGCTTGTAGTCATAGTTTCCTTCCCTACAAGTACTGAGTACATGTGTATCTGATTTCATAATTTGTTATAAAATGTTGCTTCTGATAAATAGTAGAGTTGGTCTCCTTTTAGTTGCTATTTGTGTAGTTGACTGTGTGTGTGTGAAGTAAATGTTTTTTTTGTAATGTGTGTTTTGTTTTGTATCCAAAAGGTACTGTAAAGTGTAACATGTATAGTTCAGTGATTGTATTGTTTTGTTTCAGACCTTCTCCCCCAAGATACCGTTCACCACCGAGGAGGTAGGTTGTAGTTACATATGTAGTTTGCTATGCTAAAACAACAGCTTCATTATAACGCATACCAGCATGCAATTCACATTATACTGCAGTGGCAATTAGCAGACCAGATGGTCAATAAGGATGTTCATGTGACTAAAGATTACATGAGTATAAGGCTTCCGTATTAAAGCTCAACAAGCATCAAAGGCTGTACACACAGACATTAAATCATTTAGTAATAAGCAGATAAGTAGGACATTGTGGACAAGCAAAAATATTACTGATTAGGAGCAGTTCTCTTTTGTAGTATCAGGTTGTACTACAGTCTGGAGACCTGAAAATCATTTTTCTTCAAAATGAAGGTGTTAAGCATGACATTTACTTTATGGGGTGTTTGAATGTCATCAGGTAAATTATGTTCCTTTAAAAGAACTAACATATCCACGACAGTGTGTCATTATGAATGGAATACAGATATCACATGAATATTATTTGTTTCCATGATTGAGTGAGTTTAGTTTTACGCTGCTTTTAGCAATATTCCAGCAATATCACGGCGGGGGACACCAGAAATGGGCTTCACACATAGTACCCATGTGGGGAATCGAACCGGGGTTTTCAGCGTGATGAGCAAACGCTTTAACCACTAGGCTACCCCACTGCTCCTTGTCTCCATGAATTGAATCACAAGTACGACTGACACTAAATGGAACAGTATCTGCAAATAACAACTCAACTCTTGTGTACAGTCTTTCTCAGCATACATATTATTGTATGACACAACATTACCACACAGCTTGTTATTGCTTTCAGAAGTCCTCCCAGACACAGGATCAGTCCCAGGGGCAGAGCAGGAGGGTATGACAGTAGGTTTAAGTCACGTTCCCGATCCCGATCACCCCCTCCTATGAGACGAAGGCGTAGCTCATCCTCTCCTGTCCAAAGGCGAACCCGACCTAGCGCATCACCCCCTCCACAGATGAGGAGAGGATCGCCAAGAAGACGGCCTATATCCCGGTCTCCCTCACCTGCCAGACAGAGAGCTATGCAAAGAAGAAGACCGCCATCATCATCATCATCAGACTCTGATTCATCCCCTCATCCAGTGAAGAGACAGTTATCACCTCCAGCACGCAGGCGCAAACCCTCGCCACCACCAAAAAAGAGGGATCCATCTACTTCATCATCAGGTTCCTCATCACCAGCTCCTAAACATAGAGATGAATTGACAGACCCATCACCTAAGAGAAAACTTAAAGCCCCAGTTTCTAAATCTCCTGTTCATAGGCGTAATACTAGAGAATCACCAGTAAGAAGACGACAAATATCACAGTCATCCCCATCACCTCCCAGACGAAGACAAAACTCAACATCATCTCCAAGAAGAAAACAGAAGGACACCTCAGACAGTCCACCACCGCGTAGACAGATTATGGTGACACAGAAGAGAACAAGGCGCGACAGCAACTCCTCGACTTCACCTTCACCACATAGAGTAGCCAAAGAGAGCCGTAAACAGCCAGCCAAGGTAAGAGGAGACAAGGTGTTGGATGATCGACCTCCAAGGAGAAAGTCTGTCACTCCAGAGCCAAGATCAAGGAAGGCAAAGAGAGCTCCATCTTACTCACCGGAACCGCCAGTTCCAGGACTTTCACCCCCCAGGGTGGACTCGGATGAGGAGGCCCCAGCAGGTGAGGACACGTTCAGGAGGGTGATCACTATCAAGAAGGACAAGCCTGAGGCTGGTGATGCTCCAAGGAGAAGGGAAGCTAGTTCAAGTCCAACTCGGGCCAATGGGGAAACACCCAAGAAGAAGGCAAAGATGGAGAAAGCAGCAGCAGCAGCAGCAGCATCACAAAGTGGTTCAGAGGTGAGCTGAATCAACGTGACAGTGTAGAGTTAAGACCCAGTCTGACATTTGAAAGACTTCAGTATTTGTTGTAGATGTTATCTCTGTTATATTTTTCCTGTTGGCTTTGTGAGAGACTATGGCTTGCATTTTAGCAACATACACTAACTTCATCCTATATAGTTTTAAAATATTATTCCCTATCCTTGTGACATTGTAATGGAAACTCATTCAGTTTGACTCTATATAAATATCTTCATGGCTAGACAATATCAGTCTTATTAGGGATGTCGACAGACATTTAGCCACAGCTGGCTCCACTTCGCTTTTTGTGCTTAATGTCTACATGAATCGACAAATTAAAAATTGACAGCATGGATGGTTTTTATGGAATATGATTTGATATTCTTGCCTAACGTAAGTTTTGAGCTGTGATATCTTCAGATGTATTTTTAAAGAGTTGTGTTGCTGGATGTTGCAGAGCTCAGAGGGTGACCAGGTAGCCAAGAAGAAGAAAAAGAAGAAGGACAAGAAGCACAAAAAGCACAAGAAACATAAGAAACACAAGCATAAGAAGGAGGCCAAAGATGCTGCTGAGGTGAGGACAAGACCTCTGAACATGTGACTCAGCATAGACATGCTACCACTGTCCCATGTGCTTCTTCGAGTACCCATGTAAACATTGGTAGAATGCAACCTTGACCCCTATTTTCCTCTCACATAATATTTTATGGTATTTTCCTTCAATCTGGTTAAACTTATACAAACAGATCTTTCAGCTGAAGGGCATTTGTTAATACAAGACACATCAACCCATAGAACACTTGCTGATCCCTTTGGCATTGTTTTGTGTGCAGGGTTCAGACAGTGGTGAGGGGGACACGCTAGAGGAGCTGGAGAAGAAGCTGCGAGAGAAGGCTCTCATGTCCATGAAGATGAAAGTTGGTGCTGTGATGGAGGGGCAGGATGTCTAACATCACTATCACCCTTAATCCAGTTGGCTGTTGTTCCATGTTCATACAAAACAAACAGTGGGCATTCTGTTATTACTCCTTGGGACTTGGTCATAATATACATGTAATTGTACAGAGTAGCTTTAAATTCAGTCCAATCAACATTACTTTCAAGTGAATTGCCAAAATTCCATTTGTCTAGCATTGAATGATGGTTTCATGTTTGGAGATGATGGATGCTATTTGCTGCATGAAAGGTTGGAACTGTTGTCATGGGTAGTTTATAAGATTGTAACTGAAAATTCCTGAATTCTCTTGGATCAGTGATTGATAAATCCATTCCCTTTGTATTTGCTTTTCAAACTATTTGTAGATCACTGAAATGAGAAAACCTGTATAGTAGAAATGGAAATTTGGGTTGTGTACAATCTTAGTTTGTTTCTTCATAATGTTTCATGATTCCATTTCTGGAAACTTATGTACAAAATGTGTATAACGACTTGCATCCTGCTAAAGAATCAAGGTTTGCGACAGCATGACACTGTTCCATTGATTCCTCAAAACTGAAGACTAGTTTATACACCACAATTATGGAGCAATAAGGACTAGCCATGCTGCTGAGAATATATCACAGGTAACCACTCTCTTGTTCACCTACTTGCTTATGTCGTGATATTAATTTATACTTTTTCACTGGTCATGTGATGCTGTTGGTGTGGCTAGAGGAAATGTGTGAAGGTTTGTTAAATATGTTGGTCATTTTTGTCACTGGCCAACACCGACACTAAATAAATCAAACAATATATCATTATACCAGAGTTACCATTTGACACTTAGCTGTACTTAAAAAAAGAGTGCTTAAATTACCCTTCAAATTTAAAATACCTTCTATTCTGATAATGTTTGTTTTTTCTTTGACTTCGTTTGCATGTTACTCTGAGAAGCAGGGTATGAATTGCAAGAAATCAATTGTCGATATTGAAAGGTAATTTCAGAGATTATTATATTGTATTCCTGTCCTGTGAATTTACTCTTGTCAGAATATATCATGTTTTGGACATAGTATGACACAGAACACATGGTCTTGTCATTCTCAATCGTAAGGTGCTTGTCCAAATGGGTACTGTTATTCTGTAAATAGTTACTGAAATCACATTAGTTGTTCAATGTTACAAGTTATCCAACTAAATGTAAATGCAACAGAACTCAAGGCATTTGAAATGCACCATAATTTTAAGTTGAACTGAGAAATTATTCCATTTTGTTTTCTTGTGTGGGATGGAATGTCTGCAATGGTTTTAATGTATTACGGTATTGTATTCGGCAATACTGTGCTTTTTGAAGTATTTTAGAAGTTTACTTTCATTTTAATCAACATTTCACACTTCTTGTTTGAAAGGCCTTAAAATAGTTAGAGCATTTCTCTTGCAAGGCTGGTTTCATATTCGGTGATGCTTTGTGTCACTGGTACAATAAAGTCATGAAAATAATGTTTGTGTTCGCTGATTTTTTTATTTTTTATCCCCCGCAACACGTTTTGTGAGGTATTAAAATGGACTCCGTCCGTGCGTGTGTCCGTCTGTCCGTCCGTGCACATTTGTCTTTTCCAGAGCAGAACTCTAAAACTGTTCTCTATTTCTTCACCAAACTTGGCACATACATAGATCTGGTGGTGACTGGTGCCTTTTGGTAGTTTTGGATTTCTGAATAAAATATTTTTGGCATTTCCATGGCAACAAGTTTGACATAGACTGAAATTGGTGATAGTGCTCCTTTCTGGAGCAGAACTTTAAAAATCTTTCAGTACTCTCCTTCCACTTTTCTTTATACACACCTAAATATTTGACATAATCATAACTCGTAGACATAATCAAGAAGAGTATTTTGCCATTGCGGGGGATATTGATGACTTTGTCTTCTTGTTTATTATCCCACCGGCATGTATTGTGGGGGGATATAGTCTTCGCCTCGTCCGTCCGTAATCATTTTGTTTCCGGAGCATAACTCAAAGACCGTTCAATATTTTTCAACGAAAATTGGTAGATATGTCAAACATAACCTAAGGTGGTGCCTTTTGCTAATTACAGATTATTGTAATTTTTATTTTTCTCGGTTTCCATGGAAACGTTTTGGATTTAGTCTTAAAGAAGGGTGGGCTTCGTTTCCGGAGCATAACTCAAAAACGTTCAATATTTTCAAACAAGACTTGGTAGATATATCAAACAGAACCTTAAGTGGTGCCTTTTGCTATTTGCAGATTTTTGGCATTTTTATTTTTCCCGGTTTCCATGGAAACGATTTGGACTTAATCCCAAAAGTGAGGGGTGGGCTTCGTTTCCGGAGCACAACTCGAAAACTTCTCAATATCTTTCAACAAAACTTGGCAGATATGTGAGGCAGATCCCAAAGTGGTGCCTTTTGCTATTTGCAGATATTTGTGATTTATTATTTTCTCGGTTTCCATGGAAATGATTCGGACTTAGTCTCACAAGGAAGGGGTGGGTTTCGTTTCCGGAGCACAACTGGAAAACTTCTTAATATCTTTCAGCAAAACTTGGCAGATATGTGAGGCAGATGCCAAAGTGGTGCCTTTTGCTATTTGGCAGAATTTTGGCATATTTATTTTTCCCAATTTTCATGGAAACGATTCGGACTTAATCCCAAAAGGGAGGGTGGGCTTCGTTTCCGGAGTATAACTCAAGAACCGTTCAATATATTTCAACAAAACTTGGTAGATATATCAAACAGAACCCTAAGTGGTGCCTTTTGCTATTTGCAGATTTTTGGCATTTTTTTTTCCCCGGTTTCCATGGAAACGATTCGGACTTAATCCCAAAAGGAGGGGTGAGTTTCGTTTCCGGAGCACAACTGAAAAACTTCTTAATATCTTTCAGCAAAACTTGGCAGATATGTGAGTCAGATCTTGAAGAGGTGCCTTTTGCTATTTGCAGATTTTTGTCATTTATTTTTTTCATGATTTCCATGGAAACGATTTGCACTTAGTCTAAAATCAAGCTGGACTTTAAGTAACTGTCAGATGATTTGTTCTTTCAAAGATGTGGGGGCCGGGGGGATATGTCATCTTCTGATGACTCTTGTTTTTATTACCCCGTTCATCCATCTGTCCTTGCAACCATTATTGTTCAACCAATAACTTGAAAACTATTGGATGGATTGTGGACCACCACCTTGTAACCAAGGGAAGCAGTGCAGGTGATGATAATGATATCAACCCCTGGTCCAGTAACTTGACTGCCATCTGTGTTAGCTAGCTCAGAAAGACTCCATTAATATCACAGCAGTATGAGTTTCAGCCATTTCAAGACATCAGTCCCGACAAGACATTTATGAATACTTATTAAAGGTTTGATTCAATTAATGAATGATGAATAAAGAAAGTTTACAAAGGTACCAAGCTTTTACTTTAGACAACCATAACTTCCACACAAAAAGTCTGACACCAGTGTGTTGGACAAAGTGTAAGCATGAACTACAAGTGTGGTGTGTCAGACCATCAGTCCACAATTCAATGCATTCTACCATTACACGTGCAATTAAACATGTTAGGGGGCGGTGGGGTAGCCTAGTGGTTAAAGCGTTGGCTCGTCACGTCGAAGACCCGGGTTCGAATCCCCACATGGGTACAATGTGTGAAGCCCATATCTGGTGTCCCCCGCCGTGATATTGCTGGAATATTGCTAAAAGCGGCGTAATACCAAACTCAGTCAGTCAGTCATTAAACATGTTACACAGATTTTTCTCCAGTATTAGGATCAGTCAGGTGACCTTAATCTTTCACAAGTTATCCGTTTAGTTGAAGACTTGTTTTAGAGTGTATGCCTTGTTTTCTGAATTTTCAATCAAAAGATCTCTAGTTCTTTGTCTGTATCCAACGTTCAAAAACCAGGCATACAACCGTATGGATAAGAACTTCTTGTTTATTGCAAAGTGCTAGGTTTTGATGCAGATTCTTACACTAATATCAAACTTAAGTGACCACAAGCAAATACTGACAGGTATATGTTCAGTATGATGTGACATGCAACAGATTGGCATGAACAACAGGTCATTTGTAACAAGAAGACAAAGTCATGAATATGTCAACTAGTTATGACTGTCAATGTAACATTTTTCTCCACATTGAAAACATACATATGTCAACTATTCATGTGTAAGCATGCTTGTATTAACAACAGACTGCCCGAGTGCTTCAATAGTTTGATGTACCTGAGTAATGTTGATACTGGAAACAGAGTGGTACTGTTGGTTAATGACATTAGGTTCTTGAATACCCACAAAGTGGAAAGAGTATTGAAAGGTGTTTAAGTTCTGCTCAGGAAAAGAGCATTACCACCAATTTCAGTCAACGTCAAAATTGTAGCCATGAAAGGCAAAAATAAATTGTTTTCCCCAGAAATTCAAAACTACCAAAAGGCACCAGTTCACCACCAGACCTATCTATGTGCCATGTTTGGTGAAGAAACATTGAACAGTTTTACAGTTCTGGAAAAGACAAATTTGCATGGATGGACGGACGGAATCCAAAATAATACCCCTGCTAAACAAGCGGCACATAACTGGATGAGGCCAGATGGCAAGTATGAACACAAGTAATGAAACTAATACACATCAATGCTTAAAATGTAAACAAGTTAATTGGATAGTAATTAATTATCAGATTTTAATTTTATAAAAAAAATAAAAACTAACTGAAATAAGCTCAATATTATTTTAACAACCAAAAAACATAGCATTTTGCTACAACTGATTGCTTTTGCTGGTACTTTTTACGTATGAAACAGTTTGACCAGTCTCCTGTGTTGCAATGGCAAAGGAAAGGAATAGATACTAATTTCAACCTTTAGATGTTTAGATGTTAGAGATCCTAAAATTAAGCAGTTGCCTATTTTGAGAAATGTATCTGTCATGACATCAGACCTGGATTTACATGGACATCTAAGAAAAACAACACTCAAGTTTTAGAGTACTTAATCTTTTCTTTGCGGAATTCAAATTTGCTTTTTACTGACTTGTAATTTTGACTGGTTTGACTTTCATTCAGCACTAATGAAATGATCTTTCATAGTTGTTAGGTAATCCCAGTATTAATTAATACTTATAAGAAAGTCATTAACTGAGTATCAAGTGAATGACGACAAATAGGTAAGTGTAGTGTTTGTACGATAAAACATGTAAACTGAACCGAAAACTGCCATCAAGGTATATACTGTCACTGACAGGGTCTTAGTACTATAGTATGGAATGATGCTATCTAAACATTTATTCATGCAAATTTATGTGTCTAAATGTACTAAGACCCTGTCAGTGACAGTATATTATTACCTTAGGTTTTCGGGGTGTTGTACCCTTATTTCCTAGGCAATCTGTCTAGCCACTCTGGTTCTGGGGATGATGTAGCTAGATGGATAATCAAGGATAAGTCCAGTATGGTGTCCAAGTCCTGTTTATTTTGGAATGAATTCTTTCACAAAGGTCCTCAGATACTTCCTAGCTTTCCTAGTTTACATGCAACACAGATTCACAACTTCATGGAAGAACTTGTTGGTTTCTTGCCCAACTCCTAAAGTTACAATTACATCTCAGCCATTCTCTCAATATACAGAGAGAACCTCTCAAGTCAACGGTAGGGGCCAGCTCTCTCTCTCTCTCTCTCCCAGTCAACTCAGTTTTGATTCTCTTCACAATTTTCTGGCTCCTCCCCCTGTAAATCAGTCCTACCCCATATAAAAATGACTCATAACCCATCTGACTAATAAGTTACTTTCATTAGTCCCTTTTCAACTGACTCATATTCCAGCTGCACCACTAACTATAATCATTTCCTCTCTTCCAAGACTTAATCGGTACCATCAATTTCTTCCATCATAAATGTACCTTATTAGTGAGCTTAAATCATTCGTGAAGCATTCAACCGAATAAAACTTCCGACTGTCAGGCGCCAGAGGATGGTTAATCGAATCATTACGTGTGTCCCTTTTCTGATTCTTAGTATCTTAATTACTAGTAACTACCTAAATGGTATATGAGTCACCCGATCCACGTGTTCCACTCATCTCCCTTATTAGATTTGTTGTATGCAAGGGAAATGAATCGATATGAATCTGGTTACTCTGGTCAATGCACTTTCCAAGCACAATGACACTTCTTAACTGAACTTCAAATTTTCCTTAAATATTTACCAAATATATTTTAAGTTTTCAATCCTAAATACCCTGGTTATAATATACCTTGATGGCAGTTTTTAGCGTTACAAGCCCCTGTGAACTGAACAAATATGTATATTGAAGTACTTAATTGTATAAACACATTTAGACACATAAATTTGCATGAATAAATGTTTAGATAGCATCATTCCATCAAATGTGAGTATTCAAAGCAACTCCACATTCATCAATTACATTCTTCTCAAAACGGCATTGGTGATTATGTGGGATAATCAAAATAGACACGAGTTGAAGTGTTACCCTTTAACACATGCAGATGAACTTGAAAGATTTCAGGATTTTAGTAGGCATCATTCAAATCAAAGGTGAAGATTCAAGGGATTCCTACTTGCTGTCAATGGTCTAGCTGGTCCGAATCCCAGTTTGTTGGGCTGTTGGTGTAAAGTGGCACCTGCTGATCATGCAGGTTAAATGGTGCGGGCTAGACCACTGAGAGTCTCTTTAAATACTGTATTGACTTTGCTGTTGCCAGGGTTATGTGGAATACAGTGTGAATATGATAAATATATAAATTCAGTATTAACAAACTGACAAACATGACAGCACAAGAGTTTTATTTCTACATTATCTGAGTCGGCGACATTAAAAATATGGTAACTATGTACATAAAGTTAATATCAATTGTAAACCAAAAGTCACTGTGTTCTTTAATCTGATTGGTTGAAAAACGTGATCAAATGGTATTTGATTCCTGGAAATTCTCTGCGTATTAATACATACAAACATCGCTCACACCATTGTATTGTTACGTCGTCAGCTGTGATGACGTCATTAAAATCATATTGTGACGTAAAGGCCGAATGACATCACAAATGAGCAGTTCCAGATGCTACCATGAGAGACAGCCAAAACGGACGGCTGATGACATTTCACTGCTGTACCCGTACTCGATGTCAATGAGAGCAGACACAAAATACGTGTGTGGACCTTTTGGTTTACTTTTGTGTTTACAATGTCGATAAACATCATGTGTTGTCCAATTTCCGGGTGTTATTGAGTATTTGAAGCACGGGAATATTTCATTTGAAACCTCCGGCTGACGCCGTCGGCCCCAAATGAATTCCCGTGCTTCAAATACTCAAAAACACCCGGAAATTGGACAACACATGATGTTTATCTCCTAATAATTATCTCAACAGACATATCCACAGTTGCTCAGGGTGCAGCTGGAGACACGCTCTTCAGGTGATGTTTTTGGGAACACAATAACAAGTATAATAATACAATATCAAGGTATTATGCAGTTACTATCACAATCGTGAGATCTTAAAATGTAAGAATAAAAACCTTGGACACAACACAGCCAACCCAGAAAAAAATGACACTCCAAAAATATCACATTCTCACATACATCTGGAAAAAGCTTCGAACCACTGCTTTTTTTTCCCATAAATTTCTTATTCCTGTAAATCTGATAGTTTCTTCATTTCACAGACCACCTCGGTGATCTTACTCAGCTCTAAGCTCTCCCCAGACATTGGAAGGCTTATTATGACCATTTTACACAGAAATATATTCCACATGATGCATAACTTTTGTTCAAGGCGTAAAGATCATACTGGAATTTTCTAGAACATAACATGACATGACACGTTTTCTCGTGAAACTGTATCCATATTAAAATGGACAGGAATGAAGCTTTCTAAGTGAGTGAGTTTAGTTTTACGCCACACTCAGCAATATTCCAGCTATATGGCAGCGGTCTGTAAATAATCAAGTCTGGGCCAGATAATCCAGCGATCAACAGCATGAGCATCGATCTGCGCAATTGGGAACCAATGACATGTCAACCAAGTCAGCGAGCCTGACTGCCTGATCCCGTTAGTAACCTCTTATGACAAGCATGGGTTACTGAAGATCAATATTCTAACCCGGACCTTCACAGGTGAAGCTTTCAAAGGATTTCAAAGTTTGAATATTACCATTATAACCAATACTAATTTTGGTTTCAAATTCAGACATGTTATAGCAAACTATCTTTGTTTCATTCCCCCAACTATATATGCGTAAAGAATGAAAACTCTGGAGGTGTCTCTCTTCAACCCTGAAATGCACTAAAACTACATCAGGTTACCCTTGTCTTGAATAGTAGTATGTTGTGTACATGAATAGATGACTGATTTTTATGTAAAGCTTGCATAGTTCATATCATTAATTTTTTGGTGATAGCTGGAATCATTTAAATCTTCAAGACTTGTATTAATTATTATCAATATAAATATGACCTAGAAGTCTGTCTGCAGTTATGTTTTTGATGATACCATTCATAGTAACATCTGACATTCAAAGTAACTTCTCTCTTGCTAATGTTAGCCACTGTTAAAACCTGAAATATAGACAGTACTAACAACTAACAAGGAATATATAAAAATGAATAAACATTACATGACATAAATATAGCTTTTATCATTTATATCTCATCCATATAATTATATACATTTACTGACTCATGTATCATAAACATATGGATAAAAAAGGAAGTGTGTCCATGACATTCAGGAGTCGCCTGTTCTTAACACATGAATACTGAACAATCCCTTAATAAGCAGAGACATTGTATGAAAATGTTGAGAAATATAAAACACAAAATTCACAATTTCCATAAATAACTATTACTAACAAAATAATCTTTAACATGAAAATTTTAAACAAACTGAATCACAGTCAATCATCCTGTCATGAATAACATAAAATTATATGGTGTTAAAACAACAACATGAAAATAAATCTAAAATAAATGTGTAAACTGTGAACTATTTGCATTTCAAATCATTTACATTTAGATAAAACTATATAAAGGCTAAAGTGTTATCACCTAAAATGACCTAAGAACTCTGACTCGAGATTATCACTTTTACTAAACATACTTCCATGTAAGTCAAGTTCAAGGCCATCTCAACACATGATCATGATTGTTTGCATGTCCCACACCTCTTGGTCACAAGTGACCTTCTCCTGTGATAACCCAAGCTCTATGTATAGAGCCAGACCAAAAACTCCACAATCGTATAAAATCTGTAACAGTTTCTTTCAGTTTCTCTTCATCTCTTTCTCTTGATTTGTTAATAAATCCTATATACTCCAAATATGGCATGCCTAAAACAGTTTTCCATCATGAAACTTGTTTGAAATTGTAAGAAATCTTATTTCGGACAGTTTGGAGTTATGATTTATCGTTTGTTACCTTGAACTAGTGTCCTTGAGTCGTGTCACTGGAAGACAAGTAAAGGCAGAAGCAGTATCTGCATGTCTGTCGTCAAAATCTTATCTCTCCCACCACCTGCTCCCAATCACCAAAAGCTAGCAGTGAACCATGTTAACACTAAAAATAATCTAATGTCTACAAATATATTCTATGCACTGTAATATCACTGGATATAAACTACTCAACAATTAATGGGGGTACTGGAAATACAAAATCAGTGTACAAAAACATTGTAGCATGTACCTCGTTTAATTAACTTGAAATGAAGCCAAACATTTCCACAGCAATATCAGATACTAGTTAAATAATATTACTTCCAAAAAATGTTTAGTTCAGACAAAAACAGGACACTAAAAAAATATCATTATCATATGTTGAAGACTACAGACAGCCATATTACTACAACACTTCCATCATATTGCCAGCTACTCTGGTAAAAGAATAGACAATCACCAAAAAGAAAGTTAAAATGTAAATGAAAGTTGATCAAATAATCAGTCTCTGGCCATATAAAACAATGAGATCTAAGTCAGCCCATGCACTTGTTCATGTAAAACATAAATCACCTTAAACAATACATAATGAACATGTATTTTAGAGTAAAAAGTATCTTATTCTATTTTGAATCATACAGAATGCCTTATCTCTCATTCTCCGAAATGTATTGGAAACTTCTTGTGCTGTGTTCCCCAAGAACAGAAAAAAACATCTAAATGCACCTTTGCCCTGCACAGCAGCACCAGAGTCATGTAACCAATCCAGTTGACCATTCACTCACTCCATTTTTGCATTTGACCAAAAGAACACATAATTTAGCGGAGAGTCGGGATAAATCTTACTTCATGTGGATGATCAAACCTGCTGCCTCTGATCCAGAATGAGAAACTTCTGTGGAAGTATTTGCTGAAAGAGGTATGAATAGCCTCTTAAATCTTTTTCCAAATACAGTTTTGGCAAGCAGTTTTGACTGCTGTGAAACCAACTGCTGAAAAACCTTTAGATCTGGGGAACTTTAGATCATTTGGGGAACTGGTAAACATTCTTGCATTTATCAAATCAACTGCTCTTGTAGATCCTCATTTTTGTATAAGCACTAATGAAAGTCCTTCAGCTGCTCTGGCTAACCAGCCTCATTTGTTGTCTGAAACAGTGAAGAAGGGATATTCAACATGAGATGGGCTTCACACTGTGCCCATGTGGGGAGATTGTTGCATGGAGCTCTCATTAGGCTCTTCTATAGAAGTAGAGTTTTCATCATTATGAACACTCTGTTTTTGATAAAAGCTTTTGAAGGTATGATCTGAGTGAGTGAGTTGTCAACCATTCTGATCACGTTTTTATTCTGTTCTTGGGGAACAGACCAGAGGACGTTTCTACTACATGGAGAAATAGACAATTCTTTTTCCTCCTAAAACCAACCAACCCAAACAAATTTTACACAAATTAAGAAATATTGAACTCTTCAACGCATTTTACTTTGACTGGACAAAGTCAGACGTTTAACAGAAAGTTCATGTCACATATCACAAAGTCCATAAGTTGTGACCCAAACTTACTGACATTAATGAACTTCCTCTATCTGGTTTCTGTTTCCTTGACAGAGTAGATGGAGATCCCCGTTATGACCAACACAAACGCCAGGAAGTACAGCACATGGAACTGATGGAATGGCAGAAATGAGTTTGTGACTATGTAAAGGCAGGGAAATCATAGGTATGCTCTTAAAATGATCAGCAGTAATGGACCTTGAAACAAGATGGGCCTCAATCAGTGTGTAAAAATAGTAACAGCAACTGCAACACCGATGGTGTTATTAGACTTGTAACTTGAAATTTACAGTTTGTCTGTATTCATAGCTGAAAGGTTTGAGAACAATATTTCCTCACTATTATGTAAATTGCACTCTGGAGCCTGTTATGACTTGAGCAAAATCATTTTTCAGATCCTATGAGGCATGAATAATGTAATTTTCTGACTAAAATTGATATTTTATACTTATCCTGACTCATGCTAATTATGCTTGTCTCCTTCCTCTTGCGAATGATAGTGGAACACTTGAAATCCCTTGAAGTTCCCTTTAAAAAAGCAGACGTAAAATCACTCACCCAGAGTAGTGGCCCTTCCTCCCTTTGGCGCCCTTTTGGTCACCTGACCAACCATGCCTTGTCACTCTCTCCGTATGAAAGCCCGACACCCGGATTTACAGGGAAATCCAGAGTGCCATAAGAGGGGAGGTTGGGAGGGCTAACCTCATGAGTCAGGATAAGTATAAAATATCAATTTTAGTCAGAAAATTACATATTTTTCCTTATCCTGACTCATGCTAATTATGCTTGCAGAATCCGTCGGAAATGGTGGTGGGTCAGACCACGTTCTGCATTCCCTAGTTGTAGATTTACGTCCTGTATTACCCCCCATGGGAACTTATCACGGCACTGTTGAAGATTCTGTTCTTCCAACTTCTCTCTGATGAGTCTGGGGGGACTTCTAGGAGCTCCGGTTGGGCGATGAAAGGAGCTTCCTCTTCCTCCTTTTGTACTGGAATACTTCTTTTATCTGGCTCTCTGGACTCCTGCAAACTTTGATTTGTTGGAGTAGCTTTGGGACGTCTGACGGATCACGTTGGCCAAGGTGTCGATGGATTTAATCATCATAACTTCCCTAGAGTCGTGAGATACTTCTCTGACGACTTCTTCAGTTCCTCCTCCGAAGATGTAAGATGATGACCATGGGGCTCTGTATAGAGACTTGGGTGAAGCGTTCACTCCAAGTGCATGCTGACAATAACCCTTGTCTTCTCAGGAGAGTCAAGGCCCGCTGAGGTGGATGCTAGGTGCTCCGACATAAATTGATGGTCTCTCTTCTGCATAAGTAGAGCGGAGTATATCATCCGGTCTTCTTCGGCCGAGGAATTCTTGAACTTCCCTCTATCTGGCTAATCCAAAGAAAGTACGTCAGGTGGTTGTATCCAGCTGCGCTAACTTCTTATCCTCAATCTTGTAAGTTCTTTGACGGGAATCGGTGATAATCTTATAGTCATCATCAACCTCTGCAGCCTTCAGGAAGAGTTCCATCCTATGTAGAGGGAATTTCCTGGCGTTGAATGTCGGGATGTGTTGACTCTGCGACTTGGTGGCTTTATCAAAAGCTGCATTGAGTTTGTCTGGTACTTGAGAGATCGGGTTGGTCGGTGGAAAAGTGAGCATGTCGAAATCATCTTTTGGACATCTTGTAGGTAAACGCCTCATCTGTGTCCTTAGAAGGTGATGATAAGTCCAAGCCATTGGCGATCCAGGAGTTAATTTCCGTATCGGAGAAGACGCCTTCACCTTCCTCCTCTGATTTAGACATCTCTCGCTCTAAGGATGCACGAAGACTTGAGTCTCTATAAGATGATCTATAAGATGAGCTTCGCGCAGGCGATCGATCCCAATGTGATCTTGAATCCTGGAGGTGGATTCCTGGACCGTGCGAAGGTGGCTGGACGTAGCTTCCCTCTGTAGGAGTGCCTCCGCGCAGGCTCTTGATGGGCATCAGAACCTGATGGAGATGACGATTCATATCTGCGACGTCTGTAGGGTTCGGGAGAACGCCTTGATTCCTTCCTGCGTGGAGACTTCTTAGCCGCACTCTCTGGGGCGTCTACTTCAGACGGGGAAGATCGTCGTGTCCTCGAGCCTTCGCCCAGGCTTCCCTCTTCATCCAGATGAGGTGGGGGGGCTGTAGAGCCTTCACGCAGGCTAGTAGACGTTGTAGCGGTCTTCATAGCAGCCTTCTCTTGAGCGAAGCGACATTCCATCATCGACATCATCTGGTCTGTAAACTGTTGCATGAACAGTCCCAGGTTGAAGTTCTGCGTTGTCTGAAGAGACTGCTGCAGCGATGAGGCATCTGATACTGAAGAGACGTCTTCTAAGGCTCGCTGCACTCGTGAAGAGTTGATGCTGCTGCTATCTCTGGTGCCTGATGTCTGCGTTGATAGTAGGTCTTCTGTCAATGTCTGCGCTGATACCAATGTCGATGTAGCTGTAGAAGCAGGCTTCGTCTTCTTGCAGACGATGCTGACTTTAGGTATACCAATGCCGATGTAGCTGTAGAAGCAGGCTTCGTCTTCTTGCTGACGATGCTGACTTCAGGTATGAGGATCATCATAAACGTCTGCTTCTTCCGGAGGTACAATCTCGGCTGAGAAAGACCTCGTCTTCTGTGTAGAGCTGATCTTAGACTTCGCTGAAGTCTTCATAGTAGTAGCCTTCTTCTTCTGCGAAGATGAAGATTTGGCCTTCTTCATCTGTGATGAGGTCAGCTCAGTAGACGATGATCTCTTATGGCCTCTGGCGTTCACCCCTGGTACATCCACCTGCTCCTGAGAAACATTCAGCCATTCACTAGAATTATGAATAACTGCAGCAGTGGTTAACACATGGTTATCAGCGCAATCACTCGATTTAGACATGAATACCTACGTACCCAGTCCTTAGCACGTCTATGGATGGAAAAAGGGTAATTATTAAATTCAACTGAATTTAATTTTACACAATACTTACAGCGAGAGCTGAAAGAACATGAAACAGTGCAATTAGGACATAATAAATGAGGGTGAGCCGCAGACACTCGGTACCTACAACGAATACAAGTTTTCATCAATTGTAAACATGAAGAAAACACATGTCAAACAACGGAAATTTTAGAACAAATTTCAAACCGTAATGTAGAATATAATCCTAAAAACTGTATACAGCAATAATTTTGATGTAAGGTCCAAAAATATAAAAGGATATGTACCGTATAGGGACCCAGGTGCTCTTACAACCGTCCTCAAAGGCGAAGAAGGAGAGAGTGACAAGGCATGGTCGGTCAGGTGACCAAAAGGGCGCCAAAGGGAGGAAGGGACGCTACTCTGGGTGAGTGATTTTACGTCCGCTTTTTTAAAGGGAACTTCAAGGGATTTCAAGTGTTCCACTATCATTCGCAAGAGGAAGGAGACAAGCATAATTAGCATGAGTCAGGATAAGGAAAAATATAATTGTGTACAAGTAACCATAAATGTTGGACAGTAAACACAGCAGAACATTGCTACAATTTAACAGCCAAGCTTTACAACTTCAGCAATCGCATGTTCACAGACATATGCTGACAACAAAAACAATGAGGACAATGAAGGAAGTAATTGAATTGGTAGGTCACTATAGAAATGTACCATATGGTACCATATATACATAGAACTAAACCATATAGTAACTGTCCAGTTCACTGTACTTGATGAGCTTGATGAGCCTATAAAATTGGGCACAAGCCATTTTCATTTCACTTTTCACATAAAATCCTGCATGCTCAGGAGAGATTGTTGTCAGCAAATTGCATATGCGTCCAGGACATGGTAGGGGAGTGAATAAGGTTCTAAGCTGCTTTCAGCAGTATTCCAGCATTATCAAGGAAGATGACACCAGTAATAATGTTAGGAATCAAACTCAGGTCTTTGGTGTGACACCAGGGCCTCCTTTCACAAAGCTATAACATGATCCTAAGTCACTAAGGTAACCGCAGTGCAAACGAGTCTAGAAAAGACAATCCAGTGATCAACAGCATTAGCATCAATCTACGCAACTGGAATACAATGATATGGGTCAACCAAGTCAACAAGCCTGACCACCTGATCCCATTAGTCGCCTTTTATGACAAACATGGGTTGCTGAAGACCAATTCTAATGCGGATCTTCATGGGTGTGATGTTGAATACCACAGTCAGCAATCTTGCAGCCATATCTCATCAGTATGTAAACGCGGGTAATTAACTTGGAACAGACAAACCACTTGTAGGTATCCAAGATATTTTTTTTTAAGGACTTTTTATTCTTTCACACACACGATGACTTTTCACTTCACCTGATGAAGGTATCTGTAATGGTCCCAAAACGTTGTGTGGGAAAGAATAAAGAAGCTTCAATCCATAAAAAATATCTTGGACATCTATAACAACTTCTAAATGCCACTAAAAGACATTACTTGTAAGTAGTTGGAAATAATGTTGAGTGGGAACATTGGTTTTATGCCACAGTCAGAAATTAAGGTTTCAACAAACTGGCATGTAAATAGTCACTAACACACTAGGACCATTCTCTTCCCACAGAGGTTACTCCTGTCATATCTTCCTACGTAACCTCTGTTCTAATACGGCCCTTTCATGGTGTGAGCGTTCAAGACTCGTGATTGGAGGCAATCAGATTTAGTTGTGCAATCAGCGACGTTGTTTCAAAAGTGATCATTCGCAAGGCCTCGGTAATTTCCGTCTGCTTCGAGAAAACTAAACTTCTTCCCCTGCACGATGCGCAAGCGTTTCTTCTAGACAGAACTCAGTCATGTTATGGCGGATCAGTGGCGTCTCCATCGCCCTCGTTGACAATCCGAACAAGCTAGCCATTAAACGTCTTGTGTGTAACATCAACACGCAGTCCCCGACAGATGGGGGATATTTGTGGCCTCACATTTGCTTGTGTTATTCACTAGGACAGGCTTCACAAACTTACTTTATAATGAAACAGGAACAATCCAAACAGCATGGAGTAGAAGTCTGCTGACAGGATGGACAGGTTGACTGAGGTGGCACTGGTGTACTGGATGACAATTGTCATACAGCTGTATATCAGAAACTGGCACAACACAAAGCCCAGCCAGGGCAACACTGAAACAATGAAGGGAGGTAATCCATATCGTTCATACACTGACAAATTTGCTGCTTTAAAAACAACACCACTGCTTCTTACATTTCAGGGTATATAAAACAAAAACCTTCCTTGAGTATGTCTAATTTACCGATACCTCAGATCTCTGCCTATTTTACTGACTCACAGAAAACAATCTGTTCAATTGACTCATATGAGTCATATGAGTCATATGACTGACAGGATTGGATAAAGAACATCTTGAAGTCATGTCTCTGTGATATATTATCTACTGCTCTACTGACATGACACCCATAAAGATCTGGGTTAGAATTGGTCTTCAGTAACCCATGCTTGTGCAAGTTTGTGAAGAAACATTGAAGGGTTCTAGAGTTCTGCTCGGAAAAGACAAAGACGGACTGACGGATTAGTCCTTAATCTGGTGGTCAGGTATAGCGCCTTATTTGCTTTTTTTAAAAACACTCTGACTTGTAAGATGCGATTAATAGGACATGTCATCGCTGACTTATCCTAATTGTGTAGATCAATGCTCATGATGTTGATCACTGGATTGTCTGGTCCAGACTTTATTATTTACAGACTGCAGCCATATAGCTGGAATATTGCCGAGTGTGGCGTTAAACAACCAAGCAGCCAATCTACTGACATGAATTAAAAGTGTTGCTGCAACAGTACACTGACACCATTATGATTATTTTCACATATGAAGGGAATTGAGGCTGATGATATATATTTATACAAAATGTAGGACATTATGATTACAAAGTCCCTAATGCTATGGAGTGCAGGAAATGGGCACATGCATATCACTGTTAACAAAAAGTTATATCTAAACAAATTTTGTGAAAATAGTACCTTACCTATTTCATATCTTGTAAAGTCAAGGTTAGCAACTTCATGTCTCTCAAGGATGACACTGAAAGCCAAGATTTCAATTTTCAATATTTCAACCTCACTAAAATCATGCCATTTCTCCAGACTGAAAAATGATCATATTGGGATTGTCAATACATGTATGTGATGAAAACAACAGAGAATATCATTTCGTAATCTTGGGCTGTAATATTTCAACAAAATGTTAGTGCATAAAGATTTACTGCTAGAATACATGACTTTGAGTTTTCCCTCATTAATTTAATTGGGCCAAATATATAACTTGTCATTTTTGGGTCTCCAGTCAATTCCTTTCCTTGTTGAATAGGGTTCCTTAACTTGAAACAGAAATTGAAAATTTATAAATCTATGAATTGCATTTTTATAATACTTATCCTATCTCACGTTATGCACTTTCTCTTGTCCTTCCACCCTTTGTGTGGAAATGACCTAAAACAAATGTTCTGAAACAATTGTAGTGTCTGTTGACAAAAAGACAGACATTACAAGATCAGAGGATGTTGTGGAACATACACAGGGAGCGCTGAAGGAAGAGGATTGACTACACAACAGATCAACTCTAGGGATTGTCAAATTTGGAGGGTTCAATGAGCCTGTAGGGAATGCTGAATCCTGAGATGGAATCAGAAGATCTTAGTTATAAAGATGAAACCAAGCCCCAATTATGTCAAGGGATTAAAGAGATGAATAAAAATAATCTGTAATGACAGGTCATCTACACCAATGCGACAAGACAGAGAAAGAATTCAATTGGGAGCCACATGGCTGGCCTGATCAAGACGCATGCGACTTGCAGGAGACTGTGATAACCTGCAACAATTGCTGGAGCTGGGGTGTGTATGGGAGAGGTGTTAGAAGAGGCTGAAAATTTTGTTTCAGGTTGTTTCCACCACAAGGTTAGAAAAACAAGAGAAAGTCCATAATGTGAGATAGCATAAATTAACACAGATAAAATCACCCTACATAGTGAGAGCTTCACTTACAACTGTATCCCGCTGATGAAACTACCAAACAATCCAAGCATGCCCAGGAATTCTGTGCGGGCAAAATGTTTGATGACATATTCCTCTCCTACATTGGACACCCCATATAGGGCAGCGCCAGCAATCACCAGGAAGTCTCCCAGGAGAGGGTTACTAGCTGTCGTTCAGAACAAGATATTTCACAAGAGAAATAAATGCATACAGGAATACAGTTTTATTCAATTAAAACAATGTAAACAAAAAGCAAATGTGATGAAATAGTTGTAACTCGACTTAAGCCTTTATTATGCACAAAATGTGTGAAACAAGGTTCAAACATTGGAGATCCAGTCTTTCATTTTATGCAACCATTGCTGACTCCATGTTATCAAGAAAAAGAAAAACAATTGTTAACAAATAAAGTTTTACTCATAAAATAAAACCCAACATAGAGTAATATTTACCTCCTGTGGTTCCTCCTCCACTGTTCCTGCCAGCTAAAACATCAGCTGCCACCAGCCCACCAAGTCCCACAAGACAGCAGACAACACCCACTAGATGCACCGGACGATATCGGACTCTCAGTACAAAGTAAGACAGAATCATCACAGTGGGGATACTGAAGCAGTCGAGGAGCTACAAACAGACAGACAAGAATATAGAGAAGGAAGCCATGCGACTTTAAATCTGTTTATAGAAAAAAAATGATAAAATGGTCAATGGATACCATCTTAGACTGATGTGTGCAGTTTGACAAACACAAGAAATAGTGATTGCACTAAAAACATCACATTACATTTAAACTTTTAAAGACTGGCACATCCACAAACCAATTGCTATGGCCCATAACCTGCAAAGCCATGGTGTGCCTCAACCACTGCACATTCTGTATCCTGTACATGGTAACATGTAAAAGTAATATTGCTGAAGGATTACTGTTAATATATATATATATATGCATTGGGAATATCCAATAGTTAATTAATTTTACATGGCTCTTATATCAAGGGTGTACAAATGTACTACTGGTTACAGTAGTGATACATGTGTGACCTGCACACTGGTTACAGTGGTGATACATGTGTGACCTGCACACTGGTTACAGTAGTGATACATGTGTGACCTGCACACTGGTTACAGTAGTGGTACACATGTGACCTGCACACTGGTTACAGTAGTGATACATGTGTGACCTGCACACTGGTTACAGTTATACATGTGTGACCTGCACACTGGTTACAGTAGTGATACATGTGTGACCTGCACACTGGTTACAGTAGTGATACATGTGTGACCTGCACACTGGTTACAGTAGTGATACATGTGTGACCTGCACACTGGTTACAGTAGTGGTACATGTGTACATGTGTGACCTGACCTGCACACTGGTTACAGTAGTGGTACATGTGTGACCTGCACACTGGTTACAGTAGTGATACATGTGTGACCTGCACACTGGTTACAGTGGTGATACATGTGTGACCTGCACACTGGTTACAGTAGTGATACATGTGTGACCTGCACACTGGTTACAGTACATGTGTGACCTGGTGATACATGTGTGACCTGCACACTGGTTACAGTAGTGATACATGTGTGACCTGCACACTGGTTACAGTGGTTATACATGTGTGACCTGCACACTGGTTACAGTAGTGATACATGTGTGACCTGCACACTGGTTACAGTAGTGATACATGTGTGACCTGCACACTGGTTACAGTAGTGATACATGTGTGACCTGCACACTGGTTACAGTAGTGATACATGTGTGACCTGCACACTGGTTACAGTGGTGATACATGTGTGACCTGCACACTGGTTACACCTGCACACTGGTTACAGTGACCTGTGGATACATGTGTGCACACCTGATACACTGTGTGACCTGCACACTGGTTATAGTAGTGATACATGTGTGACCTGCACTGGTTACAGTGGTTACATGTGTGACCTGCACACTGGTAGTGGTGATACATGTGTGACCTGCACACTGGTTACAGTGGTGATACATGTGTGACCTGCACACTGGTTACAGTAGTGATACATGTGTGACCTGCACACTGGTTACAGTGGTGATACATGTGTGACCTGCACACTGGTTACAGTGGTGATACATGTGTGACCTGCACACTGGTTACAGTGGTTATACATGTGACCTGCACACTGGTTACAGTGGTGATACATGTGACCTGCACACTGGTTACAGTGGTGATACATGTGTGACCTGCACACTGGTTACAGTAGTGATACATGTGTGACCTGCACACTGGTTACAGTGGTTATACATGTGTGACCTGCACACTGGTTACAGTGGTGATACATGTGTGACCTGCACACTGGTTACAGTGGTTATACGTGTGTGACCTGCACACTGGTTACAGTGGTTATACATGTGTGACCTGCACACTGGTTACAGTGGTTATACGTGTGTGACCTGCACACTAACCTGCACGCTGGTAACAGTGGTGAACTTAAAGGCCTTCACCACCAGATAGTTGGCCTCCACGTCAATGACAGCTAAGATGAGGTACTTCCACCAGTAGGTCTTGAGCAGGAACACAAGGTTGCGCTCTTCCTGTCGACAGGCCAGGACAACCGTGAACACCAAACACAGCAGCACATAGTTGAGGAATGACTGAGCTGAAGGAGACAAATGTACAGTACATTATAGCAGACAGGTAATTAAGATAATCGAACAAGGTAAGACTTGTGAAAGTTAAACGCATAAAAACAGACGTGTTCATACATTTGCTTACTAATCATGCTAATTATGTCCAATATGTTGAATGAACAGAGAGACATAGATAGGAAACTTGGATTTTAGGGAAAAGCAAATTCTAACATGTTGGGTGATTTGTGGCAGTATTGCAATGTTCATAAACATAAGGACATTTTAGGGAACACAACCAAAATTTGGTTCATTATCTATTGAATAAAAATATCTTCAATAAAACAATCTACTGGAAATTTTGAAATCTAAAAGTATATTTAGATGTGACTTGTAAGTTAAAACATAGAGATATGTTTCTTGTTATCATTTCAGTCACATCACTGCCACCTTCTGGGTTCAAATTCACACTAAAGGAGGCATCAAAGGTACAATTCACAGGGGCCCCGTTACTCTTGAAGGTTAAACATTGTAATCAGTGACCTGTGTCTGAGACCTATTCATTCATTGCTTCATTAATCGAGACATATTTGTTGCCATCCTGGTGCCAACCTGTTGGTGTCTGTACCCCCTGCTCCTGGAGAAGTCCACTGGTCACCCCTGTCCCACAAATCAACAGAGACAGCAGCTGCCCCATGGCAATCAGCTTCAACACATGTCTGCAAACAGGATCCAAACAGTATAGATTTTTATTTATTTATTTATGCTCGAAAACAGTATAAGAATCTATACCGAAACGTCGCCATTGTCAAAATAGAGAAGTTGATCATCCATTAAGTCTTGTCATCTCTATACCACCAACTTCTAGAATGCCACTCAAACAAATCACATCTTCAATTATCTGAAAACAGAGATGTATGAGCACTATATACTATTATTTAAAGGGGCCCATTTATATAGTTGGTCATAAAGTATTGAGTTCCTCAAATTCCTTTTTTAATTTTAGAACAATAACAATAATACCACCATTCAATACTGGCCATGCAAATAACCACAGATACCCTAAGGAAAATTACATAAAGGCAAAGACTGTGTTGCTTAGTAGCTTAAGCATGTGCCAGCAATACTGAAAACCCTGTTCAATGTGTAGCATCAATTCTCAGTGCCCCATGCTAGGATGGAATATTTCTGATATACATGTACATGGATTACCATACTGTGACTTACCTGGAACACAACTTTGTAAGTAGGTCACGACACCTCTGTTTGACTGTTGTATGTTGATCCAGGTTGACAGACATATCTGGTGTGTGAGTGCCAGGCAACTGGTGGTACTGGAATCTGTCATTGTCCCCACCACTGGCCATCAGCTCACGCTTCTCCTCCACCATATCCATATCTACACTGTAAAGGTTGCCTCATGACTCACTGGATTTGTGTACTTAAATGATTGTACTATTGTATCCTCATACAATAAATAATGAATATGCTTATAATGCATGGATGGATATAACAAATTGTTAGGGTTTTTTTTCCCTGCCACTTGCAGTATTTATTAGTAAAAAATATGTAAAATAAACTAAGCTTATAATGAACTATAATTATTACTGTATTATGGGTTTTGTACACTTGAGAAATATTTGTTGTTTACATATAACATCTCAGTAACCTGAAGGCTACTTTATCTTTGTAAAACACCAACATCCCAGTATATTTACAATGTTTGCATGGCGCATTGACACATCTTTTTACAGTGCCATCTGAAACATTATTATGCATCAAAACACATAATTAACCTGACAATAATATTCTCTCAGTAGTCTCCCAACAATTTCGAAGTAATCACCCTAAGCCATCATTGGCGGATCCAAAAGGGGATAAGCGGTGGTTGGTATAGGGGGTTCGACTGAAAATGACTAAAAACCACATTGACGTTTATGTATTGCATTGGCGGAGCCAACGGGGGGGGGGGGTGTGGGTGGTGGTGGTGGTTCAGGGGGTTCTGAAACACCCCAAACCCCCAAATTGAAAAATCCTGGATCCGCCTATGCCGGCCTTGTTGATAGAATCTAACTCTCGGTCCCAGATTGAATAATGAAATTCTCGAGAATTCACACAACTGTCATTTTGCAGGCTCTGATCTATTGTAATATACGTCAAACTATTTTTAACAGCGTAGAGACTCGTATAGTACAAACCAAGTTAGGAATCGCCAAATCAGCTGTCAAATGTCGTTCGTGAACTGTCACTGTTATTGGTGCACTTGATCAGCTGTGCAACAACAAAGCTTCCACGTAACTTGGATCTGGAAAATAAATGCCAAATACACTCAAGCGGCATTTAAATCTTTAATTAGAAACTCGTTTCATATACATGTGTTTACTGTTAGAGATAAACCCGTTGTCTCTATAAACATGATTACAAGTGCCCTCTCCGTACAGTCACGTGCAATTATTGTTCCCCTATTTTCTTAAAACTTGATTGATTGGATAAGATATCCAAGGCAATCCAATCGGTGAACCGCTTACAGTTCTGCCACTTATTCCACCCACGTGACCAAACAAACTAGACAGGAAGTTGGTGAATCTCAAAGGTTGGGAAACCCCTTTCAGATTCGTGTTAAGATTTTCATACCCGTAATGAACTAAGTGACAGTTGTGACAAATTATCTTATATAATATGGTTGAACCAATCTTCCAGTATCAGTTCAGACTGATTTTGATCGGAGACAGCACTGTAGGCAAGTCGTCTATCCTGAGGTATTTCACGGACGGAAAGTTTGAAGAGCAGTGCGATCCCACGGTTGGGGTAGACTTCTATGCTCGTCTTATCGAGGTGAAACCTGGAATTCGAGTGAAACTCCAACTATGGGACACAGCTGGTCAAGAACGATTTAGGTGAATTGTCTTTATAAAGATTAACATCCATGTGGAACCAAAATAATTTATTCAACATGGCTTCTTCATTGATAATACAGTGGCGTGATGTTGCATCAAGCATCATTCATGAACAAGGAGAATAGATAATTGTAGGCGTCAGTATTGAATTTGAACATTGGTTTATTTGATATGTTTATCTATAAAAGAGTGTTGCCTTTAATGTATGTGAAATGCCAATGTCAAATTTGAACAGACATTAACCATTCCAACAGGAATTGCTTAGGATTCTCAAGAATGGAGAGTAATTGTGAGCTTGGTACTTTTGTAGCATGGCCTGTCAGTTTCCTATTTCCTTCTGAGACAGTGGTTAAAAACACATATTATATGAAGAAAAGGCATTGTATACATTGTTCACATGAGGTTTTAAGCACAAAGTGTAGCTAATCAATTATTACAATTTACACTGCAAAACATCCCCCCAAAAGGTCTAAGGTGTAGTACAGGGCAGTTTGTTCCGATAATCATATCAAAGTGGGACTGGGCAATCAGTTTCTAGACATCTCCTTTGAGTGAGTGAGTGAGTTTAGTTTTACACCACACTCAGCAATATTCCAGCTATATGGCGGCAGTCTGTAAATAATCGAGTCTGGACCAGACAATCCAGTGATCAACAGCATGAGCATCGATCTGCGCAATTGGGAACCGATGACATGTGTCAACCAAGTCAGCGAGCCTGACCACCCGATCCTGTTAGTCGCCTCTTACGGCAAGCATAGTCGCCTTTTGTGGCAAGCATGGGTTGCAGAAGACCTATTCTACCCCGGATCTTCACGGGTCACATCTCCTTTGACAATTTCTTTTAGTCAATGTACTTTTGACGTGTTTATGTGGGTTCTCAGCATGTGCTAATTAACAGCCTCAGCAAATCCCTCATTGCCCTGAACGTGATTGGTCACATTTGCTTTTCTGCTACATCTATTTAATGATGTAGAAGAATCAAACAGTTACATAGACTAATTACAGTGAGACAATATGCCATGTTTAACATCTGACACCAATTTCAGTGTCTACAACTGTACAGAAAGTTGGATCCAAACAGTGGAGCAGAGACTCTTGTTACATTTTTTGTTGTAAATTCATGATGCTTCAGAAAACTAAACTGTATACTCCAGGATTTGAGTTGTCAAACCAAATTCTCACTGAAAAGGTGATTGTCATGTACCAAAATAATAGTTGTCAAATGAACTACCTGTTTGTACAAACTATGTTTGTGTTTTTGGTTTGGGTATGCATCTGTTCTTCCCCCCTCTAAACTTCTTAAAGTGTAATTCTGTATTTAAAATCTCATACAAATTGTTTTAAAGCAAGTTGAAACAATGTAACTGTAGTGTATTTGTATCTAGCTTAGTTTCATAATGTATTAAAGTTATAATTTCACTGTTGTACAAGGGTAGAAATAACTTTAAAATTGCTAGTGTACTCATGTACAGTGGCACATGTAAAATCACTTGCCCTGATAATTTTTCCGCTATACCGGCTGATTTTTTAAATAAACAACATAATTAACATTGGAATGTCAACTGGACACCGGTACAGCGTGATGTACAAATGTGCTTGCCCGACAAAAAAACCACTGGACTCGGACGTTGGGCAATGGGTTATTTCCACCCCTGTTGTATGATCTCTGTGAAACTGAGCAGCCAACAGAAGCTTGATAAGTATCAAGTCAGATTTAGTATTATAGATTGCTTAGTCTAATGCAAGTGTATTATATACACAACTAGGAACTCCCTGAATAGGTGTCATCGAAACAATTCTTCATCGGTATCTTTGTTAAAGTACAGGACATTGGTAATGACAAGAGCATTAATAGATTTAAGACATGGCAGACTGTAAGGTAGGGGCTGGGATGGAAGGGAAAATTGGTGTTCTTTGACTCTAATTTAATCTTAACACCAGTGTGTGGACGGACAAATTCATTTGTAGTTAATTTCAAAATCATTATTCAGTGAACTTCATAAAAATAGACAATAACAAACTGGTACCATCATCCGTTGTATAATAATGTCACTATACAGCTATGCTAAGCTACTGGCAAGAAATCCATGTATTGCTATGATGATAAATGTTATTACTGTCTATCATTGTATAAAGGAAAGGTTTAGTGCACACAGTCTTGACAGGATACACTGTCAGTCCTCTGTTATGTGTCATACCTAAATAGGTGTTAACTGTTGTAGACACCTGTAATGATAACCATGGTGCAGTCCATTGTGAAACTGAATCAATCATTCAAGGAAAGTGACTTGACAACTATTATGGTTAGTAAGTAAAGGGATTTATTGTAACACCAGTACAGAGATGAAATATGTTACTGTATGAAGATGAGTTGGCAGCTTAGTTGCAAGTTGTGTAGTGGCAAAGTTGTAATTGTTAGAGGTGAGGTGAAATGGGGTTTAACGTTGTACATATTTCGCTCATATGACGACGTGCATGAGTGTGTATGTGTGGCAGCTTGTACTAGCCCAGACTTAAGCTGGTTTTATAATGCTAGCGCACTGGGATACCATGCCGCAGTTAAGCATGAACACCCTACTCAGATTGACTCAGACACATACTAACTTCAAACCGACCAGTCCTTGTTGTACCCATTAAAATGATTAATGCCGAGTGCCAGGCAGGGACAAACAAGTACCATATTTTAACGTCTTTTGGTATGATGCGACCGGTGATCAAACCCCGACCTTCCGCTCTCCCGGACAGACACTCTAACAACTACATGACGGAGGCGGTTGAATTGTTAGATGAATATACATACAGTATAATGTTTATAATGATGTTTGAGGTTGTTGAAAGACAGCAAACCATGTATTGTCAATTGTTCTTTGGTTCTTAATTTAATTCCAAATATAGAGACCATATTTGGATTTGAGGCTTATTGTTGATGTCCATGATCATGGTAATTTGATATTGCTAAAAGAAAAACAACAATCTGTACTGTCCTGCATAGTACATTGGCAGTAGGGTATATAAAGCATTTGCTCATCATTTTGAACTTTCCACATAGAGACAATGTTCGTCCCCCACCATGACATACATGAAAGTGGTGTAAAATACTCACTTATTTCATAATTTGTTTCTCTATTAATATGGATGCATCTTTTTCTTCAGGTCCATCACACGATCCTACTACCGAAATTCTGTGGGCGTGATGATCATCTATGATATAACAAAACGTAGCACGTTTGAGAACATAAAGGACTGGTACGAGGAGTCTAAGATGCACATAGAGCCACAGAAGGCTGTATACCTTGTGCTAGGACACAAGTCAGACATGGAGGAACAGCGTCAGGTCACAGCAAGGGAAGGGAGACGTTTTGCTGAAATTCACGGACATAAGTTTTTGGAAACCTCAGCAAAATCTGGCAAAAATATTGAAGAATCCTTTGCATTGCTTGCACGGGACATATATCAGCAATTGGAGGATGGCCATATTAAACTGGAAGATGGTTGGGATGGGGTGAAGCCTGGATTTTCTCGGCCGAAAGATAATCTGCATCTTCTTGAAGGCGATCCTGAGGGAGGTGGATGTTGTTGATGGAGTTATCTCCCTTAAGTCTTTCCATCAGTTTATGTGCAATGGCTTGTTTAGACTTGGACCCACTATAGATATTGTAATAGTACACTATCATCAGCTGAAGTGCTACATAATGCTATCCAGTCAATTGTACCTTGGTGTTTCAACTATAGGTGTTGTTACTTATATATGATATGTGACTCATGTTTCTTATAAAGGCACCAGAGGGATTGAAGGAATTTAAGATAGTCTCCATCGGTGTATTTGATGTACTTACTATTGGATCTGTAATGACCTTATACTGTAGATCTGTAACTCTGTATAACTAATCCTGATCATCATCAAATTCTTGACATGAGATAAGGATATTTATGTTATGTAAGAATGTTAAGGTTACTAATTTAAGCCAATTTGGTATATTGTAATGAAGAAAAAAGTCTGTGCCACTGTCTTAGGGTTTCTATATTTGTGAGAGTTCTCATCATGAGAACCGCAAAAGTGTAAGTTTTGGGTTCTGTCTACTCTTAATTCATCATTTTTATTGTGAAAGGATTATTTTATATTTCAAGTAATTTACTTAAGTATGCATTGTCTTCCAATCTGTACATCATAGATGTTAAGATCTCGGTGAACACTGTATCAGTATCAGGTGGGGTAATACAGCAGTGATAAAGTATTATAGAGTTATCTCCCCCTGTACACTTAACCAGGAAACCAAGGATCATCTTGCATACACTATTACAAGCTTTCAGTCAGAGCCTTGAGAAAATTAACTTAAGACATGAAAAGAGAAAAACATGGACAAATATAATGTATTATGATACCTTGCACATATCCATGACGATTGTTTGGATGAATTGGATTGACTTATATTCTCCCCACCAGTTTGTCAACATTTATTATCTACAGGTGTTTCCTCTGTCTGGTTTTGTTCTATGGAACCAATAACTCAACTGGAGTTTTGAATTCAGTAGTTGCAGTAGTAAAGACAGTGATTTAATTGTTGTGGAATATTGAATGATTTATTTTTCTGATGTAGTCAAAAGTAATGACATTTTTTGCTAATTTGCTATACATACAGTTTTAACCCACCGTTTCAATGGTTTGTGAAGACAGATGATACTGTGTAGGTTTTAGGCTAATAGGTGCAAATACCAATATTATTTTCTTACAGCTGAATAGACATCTCAAATTTTCAAATGTTATTGATTTATATTTGTGTCCTAATAGGTATATATTTTGGTGTAAGTATTTCCAAGTTTCTTACCAAAGATCTTATCTTTGTTTTTGATGTAGCTAATGACCAGATTGTTAATGTGTGTGTGTGTAGTAACATGATTAGTTGTAGACACCCAGTTGGTAAGCTACTGCTGACATTAAATACCATAATATCTTCTTTGAAGAGAGACTACATAAGCTTAAATTTTTTTGTTGATAAAATGCTTATTATATAGAACAACAATAGAGTTTCATTTGTTGATGTTTGCTGCTTTACATTGTAAGAGTCATTGAAACTGGAATTTTATAACGTTGCTAAAATTGTTTCTAAACTGCCTTTTTAGTTTCAACACACTTTCCTCTATTTAACAAATTACAGTTGGCACATATGTGGTCAATTTTATCACATGGACTCCATGTATGTTAGCTGAATGAAATTTGAATCAGGGTAGGAATATATTCCTTAAAACCTAATGCAACTGTATTTGATGATCTACAATGAAGACCAATGTACTGTACTTGAATCTTCCTATCTGCAGCTGTTTTCGTCACAGCAATGGCACCATTTTGGAATCTAGTATGTTCTTCTGATCCTTGTTGCTTCAGACTATATTTCTTCTTGTCAGCTGAGTTTGATAGAAGCATACAAGTGTCTTGATATAATCCATGATAAAATGGGCTCTCCATGACTTCAGATACTTGGCACGTCTTATTCATTATGTTTATCTCATCTAACAAAGATTATTCATTTACATGTATGAGAAAACCCCTTCATGTTCAGCCTTCTCAGTCGACAATATAGATTTGACTAATTGGTCTATGTAGTTGATGATGTATATAGAATATTTACACAAACACTTCATATTTCTTCTCAACCTTTTATCATGTTGGACTTCATTATTTTGTATTGTATTTGTGAATGTGTGTTCTACATTTTTCTCCAAATGTCTATTGCTGGTTGCAGAGTGCTGGAGCTCAGTCTAAACTGTAAAGAAACAATTTGATGCAGTGGGTGATAGTGGCCAAGCTTTACAGTGTGTGCTGGAGGATGAATGGATGATGAAGATGATGATGATGATGATGATGATGATGATGATAAATAGCTTGTGATAATGGAGTGTGTGCAGTTAGTGTAGGGACTGTATGTTGTCACTTGATAAATATATTGTCTGTTACCATGGTACTGTGGTTCTGTAGTTCATCTCACGCATCTTATATTGAACTGACTTGAAAGAGTGATTCCCAAACAATTAATGTCTTTTACTGTGTTTTGGTATTTTCTTGGGTGCTGTGTGTAAATTTATATCATTTAAAATCTATAGTCCATTTGCCTACAAATGAGAATAATGAACTGAAAATAACTCAAAATCGGGAATAGTCAATTAAATTTTAATGTGGTGTATGGCAATGAATATGAATATGAATATGAACAATATCGGCTCTTTGTTATTTTTTTTTCATCACTGGAAAAGGTTGTTGAAGAGGTTATCATGTTGTTTTGTGTATAGGTTGACACCTTAATCTTATAATGCACAATGGTAGGAGGAATAGTGCAAACATGCACTTGCACAGCAATATATACTAGACTATTTCCGATTTTGAGCTACTTTGCAATTCATCTTTCCTTTTGGAGATAAACAGACTATAAATAGGGAAAGTACATGGAAAGTACCTGAAAAGTAGAGAAATAGGTCCCCCAAAGTAATTCTGTCACTGGTCATAATGGTCCCAGAAACACAGTCGTCTATATATGATAAGTGATGTGAACACACAAATCTTTTGCCATCTGCAATCTGAAGGCAATGAAGGCGCAAAAGGGTAGTCCAGAAATGTTACAAAGAAGTTATCCTTAAGAACGTTTTATTCCTTTATGTTCTACAACCTCTAAATGGCAATCAAACATTTAGCTAGCTCATAGTTTTCCACTGAAGGCTTGTAGGTCAGCTACAGACCCACAATATTACATGTATGTTGTCTGAAACCAGATCCGTATACAGTTCTGGCTTTAATGAGTAGTTTTCATTATATATGGAGCATTTGGCAGAAAGGGATTTGTTTTCTCTCTTGACATTTTTCATTGTTTACACACTGCTATAAGCTGTTTTAGCAAGAGGGAACTGACAATACCACTTTAGTTATGATGGTTCTTAGATCAGGCCAACAAGTCATAATTTACGTTTGGGGCTTTTTCATTATATAAATGAAATGGATTATCCATGTAAACAAAGGCAAATACTACAGAAAAGTTTCTAGAACAATGGAAGGACAATCACAATGTGTGACAATGTAATATGCAAATTTTGTGCATGTTTTAAGCATGAGAGTACCTGGTAAATGTCTGTATTCCATGTAGAAAGTACTGTGTGAGTGTTTGCAATCTTCACAAACATATAAGTTTTATGCTTCAAGCCTGCCATGTTAAAATAGCTTCAAATATTCAACATGTGAGGTAGCCTCTTGAAATCTTGCAACTACGTGCATGAGTAGCCTTCTGTTAGGTGTTGTAACTGTTACAGTTGACTGTTCTCTGTTGTTGACTGATAGCCTATGACACAATACCCTAAAACTCTAGTGTGTGTTGATGATATATCTGTGTGCGAGGTGTAGTGGGGCCTATAAATGGCAAACCAACAAATGAGCAAAAATAGTAAAAAAATGGTAAAGAGGGATGGAATTCAGCCCCTTGTCAATGGTTTACACTATCACTGCACATATGTAACCAAATATTTCACATGCCAAAATGAGTGTGTGTGTATTATGATGCTTGTTGTGGTATGTGAAGGCTGAGTGTTGGTAGGAACATAATTTGAAATTGTATGTCTATTCAACATTTTGTATGATTTGACAGATTTGTATGTTTACTGTACCATAATTAGGTGTACATGATAGAAGAAGTGTGATGCTGTATTATGGTGTGATATGGCTCATGGTATTCAAGTATTATACAGTGTCCACTAAACAATGTGATCAGTCTGCATGGACACTTTGATAAAGAATACATGTAAATTTGATTTCCTGCTTCATTGCCAGGATATGATGTCTTGCTTATTTGATCACCCTATGATTAATAAGGTTTAAATCAAATTTCCTTTCAAATTCATAAATCCAAAGTTTGCTTCTTGATAAAGGATTCTGTGCTGGTACTGTATTATGCTACTGTATAATTAAAGTGGACAGTGATTGATTGGTTTACTTGCAGATACAGGTAAGATAATTTGTCAATAGTAACACTTAGTGGATCCAACACTTAGAAAATATTTTATTATATCACCTGTTGTAGAAGCTAACCTATTACTCCCTTGGGAATAATTATACAAATGGCAGGCATAGGTACTGAAAATTGACCCACGTGTTACGCTATGGAAGGCATCCTGTACATGGAATAAATCCAGTATATTGACAGTACTCTATATACACTGTGATCTTACTGGTATTATTATGTTAACAATCATTTATGACATTAATGAATCAGGGTCAATAAGATGCATATCAGTCTTGACTGATAACCTAGGGATATCATTTGAACTTAGTTCAGCATATCATGTACATCATTCATTTTGTTGCTAAGCAAATATAAATACCTGTGGGTACACCAAAGTGACAAATATGTTGCCACATCCTTAAGAAACCTCTGCCAAGAGCAGAATCAGTTGCATCAATATATCATGAGTAGGTGTAGGCATCATGAGGATGATAACAGGTTTTCGTGAAAATTTGAGAATATCCTGCCCTATCACAAACACATGCAAAGGATAGTCAATTATTCATCTAAAAAAGACAGGAATGTATGGTACAATTCAAAAAGGGTGTTGAATAAGACATTTTGGACATATTTCACACTTCCCATGTCAAACCTACCTGTGAAAATATTCAAATTTATGTTTATGATAACTGTAAAGAACTTTTTTTTTCCCTGGTTATTGAATTAAAAAATAGCATGAAAAAATTCATTATTAAAAGATATATATATATTATGTCTGTATCAAATTACAGAATTAAGTACATGAACGATACCAATATTGATTCATTCTGTATATATTATTTTCAGATGTTGATATGTTGTCGCTTTTGTTGTAGAAATTCTTTAAAACTGAAGCAGAATTCCATGGCTTTGGCATATTATTCATGTGTTCAGTGACAGCTTATCTCTGGGCTTGTCTATTAAGTATACATGTATATATTGTAAAGGTGGACACTTATTTCAAATTGGTTATGAATAGTAGCTGTTGTTTCAAAGATTGTATTATTTTGTTAAGGCCAATAAAATTCATATCTTCAAATAAGTACTGGGATGTATTTAGACCAGAGTTCTGGTGATGGTGAATATTTCTGTTTTTATTACATATGTATGCACATGTATGGCTGATTAACACATTTTAGAGGATGTTGATGATGTTGAGTTTTAATGTTTCAATTTTATTTAACAACACCACAATATTGAACAAGCTGACATATCAGAGGCAAGAGGACAATAGGTGTTGCTTCCTTTCTTTTGAAGAATATTGATTTGTGTTTGTTAAGGACCTTAATACATCAGATGAACTCATCAGTGAAGAAGACTTGTGGTACAGCTGGGAACTATTCATTGAATGATAATCAATTCTTGCAGTACAATGGTATTATTGCTAATTTTGATGATATACTATTTTTGTTTTGAATAAACTTTGCCATTTTAGAAGGTGGTCAAATGTAACACGTTATATTTGGGATTACACTTTCTCAGTAAAGTACAGATTCTAGAACTTTGTTGGGTCGAGTCCCATCCGAAATACAAACCCTCACTGTCAGTCAGGATGTGAGTTTGAATCCTGAATGAGATTTTACCCAACAAAAGTACTAGAATCTGTACTTTACTGAGAAAGTGTAATCCCAAATATAACATGTTATATTTTTGGTTTTGTTTTACATTTTGGTTTTGAACTTGTTCTAATTCAATATTCTGCCGATTCAGAAACAAAATCAATATGGCAGAACTAGGGTCAAGTGACAGTCTTTGCAAAATTGTCTCCAGTCATTCTAAACACTTTGCTTGCAAACATATGATGGATATCAACCAGTAGTTTATGGTATCCCCACTGACAACATCTCTGTTTCACACACATCACTAGAACACCATTTTTTAATGAACCTTAACTTCATGACATGCATCTATCTGGATGTTAATTACACAAATTACACAGAGACAGTGTTTTAACTTTCATGCACTATGCTAATTATGTCATCTGTATCTAGACTGTAGGGCACATCATCTGTATCTAGACTGTAGGGCACATCATCTGTATCTAGACTGTAGGGCACATCATCTGTATCTAGACTGTAGGGCACATGACTGTGAGGCACAATTCCCACTTTTTACATATAGTGTATTGTAACTAGGTTTATTTTGCTACCCTACCAGATAAAATGTGTAAGAATATTATTTGTGTCATTATGTTGTAATTTGTGCAACTTTTTGAACATTAATGAAAATCTATTACTGACCCATGATGCGGTAAGCTTCAAATGACAGTTTAAGAGACACATTTACCAACTTCACTTCCCTAGTGTCCTCGTGAAATTATAATGTTGATTTTACACATTTTATTATAATCCTTCCAAACAGGAATTATCCAGATTCTGTTTAGAATAGAAATAGCAAGGATACAAAACATGTCAAAGATGGGACACATGACTGGACACATTGATGTTTTGCATTCAGTTGAGTGTGCTCGGCACATAGTCAGCCTCTATAAACCTACAATATTTTGTTATTCTGATTTCAGAGGATATTCATTATTCTTTCATAATAATTACAACTCATTATCCCAGTGACATAACAGTGCAGTATCTATGCTGTGATATTCTAACTGCTTTTTAAAATCGTTTCTGTGTGGTTATTTCCTAAATTTATTGGTTTACAACTGTAAAGAGTTCACATTCTACCAAACACACAGCTCTATATATCACACATGTATCAATACACATAGCTCTCTGTATTACATGTACATGTATATCAATACCCACATGTCTATATGTCACATGTATATCTGGTACTGTTGTTTGTTGGCCAGTATCTTTCAGTTGCTACTTGCCATATGCATACATGTGTGTTAATATGTTGTAAGTGCAATATCATTATTGTTTTAATGCAGCCAGTGGTTTTTGGTTGCCTCTTGCAGTTGTGAACACTGGTATGCACTAAAGTGTTGATAATAATAAAGACATTCATGCAGTCTACATGTAACATGTTGTCAGTGTATCATCATAGAGTGAGTGAGTGAGTTTAAGGTTTATGCCGCTTTTAGCATCTTCCAGCAATTCACGGCATGGAACACCAGAAATGGGCTTCACACACTGTACCCATGTGGGGAATTGAACAGGTGTCTTCGGCATGATGAGCGAGCGCTATAACCACTAGGCTACCCCACCACCCTGTAACATCATAGAAGACTTGAAGGTAATATTGTTGATCTTATGAAGCAAGGTTTCCTGGCTTTCTTGCCTTTTCACAGTCTACCATCCATTTTTTACTATATTGTTTGTTGTTTAACACTGCACACAGCAATATTTCAACCATATGACGACAGTCTGTAAGTAATGAAGTCTTACCAGACAGTGTCATTGAGATCTTGAGCATTTATCTCTCCAGTTTGTATATGATGGTATGCATCAACCAAGTCAATGAACCAGTTACCCACCTGTCTCTCAGGCTATGTGTGTTCAGTATTGTGAATTGCTATAGACCTATAATGGATTCTGTTTCTTGTTTAATGCTGCTCTCAGCAATATTCCAGCTATATGGTCGAGACCAGACAATCCAGTGATCAACAGCATGCACATTGATCTACTCTGTGTGTTCAGTATTGTGAATTGCTATAGACCTATAATGGATTCTGTTTCTTGTTTAATGCTGCTCTCAGCAATATTCCAGCTATATGGCTGCTCAGTGATCAACAGCAGCAATATTGCATTGACCTATAATGGATTGTGTTTCTTGTTTAATGCTGCTCTCAGCAATATTCCAGCTATATGGTCAAGACCAGACAATCCAGTGATCAACAGCATGCACATTGATCTACTCAGTTGGCTACAATGACGCGGTCAACCAAGATAAGGAGCCTGACCTTGTTGGTGGTGCCTTTTATGACTGGCATGGGTTGCTGAAGACCAGTTCTAACCTGGATCTTCAGTGTCTTGTGACCCTTCTGCTTGTTAAATCGCCCAAAACACAACTGAAGAAGCCTTGGTTGAATACTGAGAACTTTTGTTTGTTGTTGTTTTTTTGTGAGTGTGTGTGTGTGGGGGGGGGAGAATTCTCATTGTACATGCTTCATAACAATCATCACCCCCTTGCCATTTATTAATAGTGGTCCCCAGTTGATATCACTTCCTGTAAATTTATGTATATGTAGTATTTTAATAACTATATATTATTTAAGTTTACCGTTTTATATTGCATTTACATGCAATGAGCAGAAGAAAATAAGAACCTATTTATACCTTTCCAGTTTAATGTAATCAACACTTCTGTTATCCTTAATTACAGAGCCCAAACCCATGTGTCACTTGAGACAAATCGTGCCAGCATCCTTCAAACCTGAACAGAAACACACACAAAACTCTATCTCAGTTTGGCGCCCGACAAGAACGTTTGGATAAAGTTCCGAAACAAAATATATGTGACAAATCACATACCGATATGCATGCTGAACCGATCCTGAGACTTCGGCATATAGAGTTGCAGTTTCAGCAGGGACAGATGTTTGAGAACGTGGGCGATAATCGTGTGTAGGTGAAACAATAAATTACTGAATACAATAATACAATGTATATCGGGGAAAGTACGTATAATATCGATAGCGTAGGATTTAATTAAATGCCACGTGGGTCATTGTGTTTGAGGTCATCCAACCAGTTGTTTTCTTTTTTGTCCCATGCATATATCCGGAACTTCACAATTATTGTCTCCCTGGTTGAAAGGAAAACAGACTGCAGACAGTTCGCTGAACCCATGGTGCACTTATTCACGTTGTCCTCGCCAAGCTGTTGCAGCAACTCTGACATCCAAACAACTGAACACGCCGTTGTTCTGTCATTCGGATCCGCCATTTTACAACAAAGGACATGAAATATAAGTGTGAACCAATACATCCAAGTGTTTCTTATATCAGAGTGGTGAATCTTGAAGTTAACTTGTGATAATGCTATCTTGCTATCCACTCTATTCATTTGTCGGAACTACCAAAGGCGTTCCCTAAAGTGATTGCAGAACTACAATTCTCGTAAATCTGCGCTCAAGTATATATGGAAGTTACAATCACGACGGTCGCCTTGAGGAACGGGGCGAGGAGGAACTGCAATAAGGGATGCCCTTTCCAATCACTGTCGGCACAGTAGATCTATTTACTATCTAAACATTCTGCAATCCGATTATCGGCTATGGGATGCCCATTTCCAATCACTGTCGGCACAGTAGATGTATTTGGTTTAAACATATTTTTATTTCGTCAAAGAAACCTGGATAGGCGAACAAGCCTAGTGGCTTATATAAACGCCGCTCCAGTACATTGTTCCATTAGCTGGATACATAATTGAAATAATTTACCGTATAAAGTAGTTTTCACATCGTATCCTTGAATATAAAAATACATCGTTGTTCTTAAATTTTGATAGTTCCGACATAATAGTAGGTGCATTTACCATCTATACATTCTGCAATCCAATTATCTAATAACAAACTAGTTTTCCCCAGATTTTAGTTGGTGCCGTTTTCGCCATAAGATTGTGCCCGTTTTCGCTAAGTCGAGGTTCCGTTATGTCCAAATGGATTTTTTTTGAGAAGCATGTACAATGTGAATGACCCCCCCCTAAAATGTATGTACAAAATCAATGCCCCCCCCCCTTCCCATAATTTCTAAGGATGATTTTAAACATTTTTATATGTACAAAATTGCTGACCCCCTTGAAAGTGTGTACAAAATTGCACCCACCCCCGAAGAAAATGGGTGACCCCCTTAAAATCATCATCACCCCTCTAGCCATAAATTATGAACGGTCCCTAACCTGTTATATTTGTTTCTGAGGTGATGTATCGAAGAAATACTGAACCCAGCCGTATACTATCGACATTTTCAATACATTCTTATTGTGATATAACGCTTAACTGGCCGAAATAAATGCAGGAATGCCCATTTGATCCAATACCTACATATGAAGGTCTATTGATTTCTAGCTAAGATACATAGCGTTCACTAACATAAACGTTCATGTTAGTGAACGCTATGTATCTTAGCTAATTGATTTGTGGATCAGTTTCAAACAGATCGAGCTAGATTATCACGAGATATGTTGTGTCTCGTGCGTTCCGACGTCAGATGTCAGAAGCTTGAAACCCAACCAGGTGATCATGTCTTTATTGCCGAAGTCTCTGAGACAATGACATGTTCTCCTTCCGGGAAATAAATGCCTACTGAACAAGCAACATGGATCATTCTGGCGTTCCTGACGTGACAGGCCTTCCGGCACAGAGGTCGTCGTGGAAGCTCCTACTCTGCTGCACCGCTTACCGTGGCACAGAAATGGACATCCTTCTCGAATATTTTCCTATTTTCATGGATGACTTGATATAAATCCCTTTCTCTGCAGGTATGCCAATAAGGCTCAACGCATGTCATCAACATAATCAAATTATCATTGATCATGGAGATAAAAAGAAATTGGAAATACACAAAAACACAACTTGTGTCACAAATATATATTTTAATCAAAGCGGAATGAGATTGGTGTACTCATCCGGTTTATTACTCATTAGTCTCATATGTGTTACCTGCTATCCAATATGAGGCCGCTTCAACAGTGTTTTGGCCATCATGAGTGTGTACTTGATTTAGTTGGCCAATGCTTTAATTACGTATATATATATAGCTCGCTACGTTCTCTTGCACAGATTTGTTCTGTCAATAAATGATTTTTGCTATTGACAGCTGCATCCCCGAGGTTAATGACTGCAAGGGACATGAAGGAAACAAATTTAACCTTGTAATAAAAATTAAATTAAATTAAGCGGAATTCGTTAAGGGTCCGCGGTTTGCCTCGGTTTCCCGAAAGTGAGTTTCAGAAAGACAAACAATAACACACAGAACGGTGTACCATTAATTATGATGTACATATATAGTAATATGTAAGTCAAATATGTCACTGCTGTGTGTCATATGGTCATTAAAGTGAGGTGCAATCGCGCTTCGTACCATCTTAAAATTAAACGTCTGTTCCTAGGACGAAATCGACCACCAAATATACTGTAGTTATCCAGTTGAGCCAGACTATTCATTGGTCCATTGAGAAAATACTTTTTGGGAGCACAAAAGGGGATAAATCTAATCGATTTAAGGTTCCCTTTGTTTATTCGCAACGCAACACTAAAAACCATCATTCACTAAAGCATAAATATAACATAATTTCACTGTGCAATCACGAAAGGGAACATTCTTAAGGTCGTAGCTTCAAAACGCAACTCGAACGGGACCAATGGGAAGCGGTACTGACTCTCCGGAAGTGACGACATAATGTCAACATTGCAAGAAGTTTGAGACGAACGCTGAAACAAAAGTGCTTTTGATTATGCAACAGGACTTATGGTACTACTGTTGAATTTATTCACTTCATGATACTTTGTCTCGCACAGACCAGGATGAAAACGACAGGGTTGACAAAGTTATCTGACTGTTGACATTGTTGAAAAACATATGATGCCACATTGACAGTCAGTGAATCACAAGACTAAGAGAGAGTCTACATCAATTTCTTGATAAAGTGAGTATTGTGCCAGAAGTTTACTACCAAAGATACCCCTATATTTGTGATTATAATTTTGCATGATTTTATCCACCAACATTGAAAAGAACGGTCATAGAGATATTCGTCAGCATATAACTAGAAGCTTTCCAAGGCGCACGATGTAGGCATTTCGTTGGAATAGAGTTTATTTATATGAACAAGTTCTCCAACTATGTTTGGGTGTTTATTAGGCCTATCATAATACTAGTCCTAATCAACGTATCAGGCAATCAAATTTCCTTGATTTAATGTTTTCTTCATGAGAACCAACATAACAGGGCTGGGGGATACACATGATTGGCCTGCGTCCAATACATGTTTTACCACAGTTAACACATGTTAACACTCCAGTTCTCACTGATGGACTGGGATACACGTCACACTGATGCATCTTGCATCAC